TATTTTTGTAGTCTTGCCCCCGATCTCCACCTTCATCCTGATCGTCTCCTAAAAGGTCGTATCCTCCGATCGTAGCTGATCGTAACCATTCAAGTTAACGTGTCAATTTACACCGACTTCTTTCCGTTCCTCTGCGGATCGCCGGACTCCTCAGCTGATCACAAGAGTTCTATTTTTTCTGGACGCCGGAGCATGGCGGATAAATTCAGCACAGATTAACCCGTGCTGGAAAGGAAGTCGGGCACAGACACAAAATAAAACATCCGGCTTCTTTTCAAAATAAAACACTCCGTGTTTCAGGAGGATCGTATTTCACACCCTGCAAACGGGCGGAGACGAACAAGTGAAAGGTTTTTAGACGTCATTTCACCCCGATGACACCATGGATGAGGAGATGCTGATTCTAGAAGTCTAGAAGTAGATTTCCTCCTCTGGAAGGACACAATCTACTGCTTATATGTCTATGTGTCTGTCTTTAGAGAGACAACTTGTTATCGAGTGATTGAACGTGAATCTGAGGGTTCTTGTGAGTTCTCCTGATTCCTGCTGTCTTTAATCCACCACGAAATTCGCCTCACAAACGGATCTGGTAGGATTTGGTGGACGGAGAAAAATTGCCGCCATTCTGGATCGGAGCCGTTCAGGATGTGGTGGAAATCCCGGGCTAGGATTTTCTCCCAGGTCTTTTATGTGTCACATTATCCGATCTTGTCTCAGGATCTTGCTCCTCTGTGATCTTGTTTCAGGCCTTGTTTGCTGTCTGTGGCGTCCTGACCGCCTGTTATTGCTGCTGCTGTCTCTGCTGCTGCTGTAACTGTTGCTGTGGGAGACTTAAGCCGCCACCGACAGGTGAGGGGGCGGAGCCAGACTACGTCTCCCCTGACGACCTGGAAGAGGAGATGCGCAATGACCCTGACAACGGTGAGACCACAGGACCTCAAAATTTAAGAAATCAAAACTCAAACTAAAGACGAGGTTTTTAGCAGAAATTGATTTGTTAAAGGTGTTGTAGTCAGGATCTGAGGAGAAATCTTGAATGTAAACTCTACCCCTCCCAACCAGTTTTCCCCTCAGCTCCTCCTCTCCCCTCAAGCCCCGCCCACAAACAGACGCTCCTGCTCGCTCGTATCGTTCCAGTTAAATTCAGATATAATGCAGATAAATCCTTCAGATCATTACAAATGGGGCCCAGTCAAGGTGAAAGTCAAAAGCATTGGTGCTACTGTAGATGCCAACAGACTACCAGCAAACACAATGTTTGCAGGACTTCTACAACGAGGATAAAGTGACATAGTCCAGGACCCGAGGGAGGACAGTTTAGCGATGGCGCTACAACACGCTACAGCAGGTCCGTTTGACAAGAAACACTTCTGTTACAGACACTTGTCTTACTTTGTTAAAGCGGTTTACCTGTCCAGCAGAAAGGTTACAGGGTCACCAAGATCCCCAAGCGTCCCCCATGGTTTATGTTGACCCGGCTTTTTAGCTCTTGTCCGGTCTACCTCCGTTCCTGACTACTCTACCTTTAAGTCAGGTAGGACAATGATCCGTGGACCGGCTGAGGGGAGGAGTCTGTCTTAAATCTTAGTCCTGTTTCGTTCCTCTCAGGTCTGATGAACTTTTTTCTCTCACAGACGCTGAAACTCCGATCGTTCAGCAGCCGACCAACGCCAGCGAGAAAACTCAGCTGATCACTGACGGACACCGAAGATACGGAGACACCTACACATGAAGCCCCAGGACCGCCATCAACCCACCTGACACAGGAAACGCATCACTGACCCGCCTCACCTGTGTAAACTAAGAGTACACTGTAAAAACTAATCAATTAAAGATCAATATGTATTAATAATCTTGCTGAATGCTGAAGCAACAATCTAATAACTCAAGTATCTTGTTCTTTCAGTCAGATCCTTCAGTTTGTATCATGTCTGAACAAGAACCACAGAAACACTGAAGGGACAAAAGGATGTGGACACCTGAGTTCATACACTTTGACCAGATCTGACTCTAAACCAAAAAACAAGATACTAAACAAGATCTACAGAGCCCTAAAAATAACAAGATCCTGCTTATCAAGATATCACATCATGTTTTACATCTTGTCAAAACAAGATCCACATCTAGCTAAGGAGTTTGTTTGAACAAGATCCATGGTACTGTTATTGTTTTTACTGAGGTAAGATCTGGATCTTGTTTTACACATTTTAAAAGGCAGATCTGGATCTTTCTCTGTGGGCTGAACAAACTTTGTCTGAGGACAAGATCCATCAATAATAAGTGTGTGTTGTATCTTGCACAGACTTATATTTAAAACATTATTGATCTTGTTTTTGCAGAATCAGATGGTGGTGTAATCAGAGCTCTTCAGATTCTTAAATCATCAGATCGTTGCTTTTTGGATCAAGTTGTTGTGAACCTTAAATACTTTATTATTTATTCATCGAAGGCTGTGATTGGCTGGTTGTGATTGGCTGGTTGTGATTGGCTTGTTATCTTGTTTTATTTTGAGGTGTAACAGAAGATTAAACAGGATCCAACAGTTTAAAAAAACTAAAGTTTATCTTGATCATGTTTTATTTTCTGACTTTGTCCTGATAAAAACAGAAACACAGACCTCCTGTTTTGTCAAATGTGTTGGTGTAAATAAAGTTTTGTGTGAATATTACTGAGTGTGCGCTGACGTCCGTTTGTTAATAAACCTGCTGGTTTCTCTCACCTGTGATGATGATCTGAGTCTCTCCTGTCCTAAAGAGGGCGCTGTTCTCACTGAGAGGAGACAAATGAAGGTTTCAGCTTCAAATGAACAAAGAAAATCTTTTAATTTCTATTAAAGGTTTTAAATGAATTTGATAGTTTGACTTTACAGAACTCGACTATTTATAAAACTAAAGTACAGGAGGTCAAATTTAGAGATTTCAAAATAAAAGTCATTGATGAACTAAATTTAAATCTATAAGAAAAAAAGGTTTTAAAATCACAAGGATACTCCTGATCATTTAAAAAATGAAGATAAAATATTAAAACTTAAAAATGTAAATTAATCAGGAAAAGTTACAAATTTATGAGAATCAGTTCTTAGATTTTTAAACAACGTTTCAGGTCAGAAACACTCGACTGTTTATATAAATTAATATATCTAACCAGTGTCTGACCCCTCAGACCAGCTGATGTTTGTCTTTGTTATTGATGGACTATCGTTCCAGCAGGGGGCGCTGCAGTTTCTCTAAAACAGTGTACTGTCCCTTTAATAACCCCTGTCCTGCTCACTGCCCCTCCCACTCCTCTCCCAGCTGTCCTGCCTCCTCATGACCTTTGACATATAAGGGCATGTCGGCACGGCAACGGCTGACGTCTGTCCGTCTAAAAACAGACCCAGAGACCCCCCCAGCACACACACACACACACACACACACACACACACACACACTGTGACACTGACACAGCAGACACACACACTGTCTCGATCGCCGCTCTCTGCCTCGTCTTCTTCTTCTTCTTTGTTTCTTTATTTGCCTCTTTTTTCTCACCTGTAGGACTCTTACCTGCCGTCCTCCTCCTCCCTCCGTCCCGTGTCTCCCCCGTGTCTCCCCCGTGTCTCCCCCCCCCGGCGCCCTCACCATGGAGAGTCTGGAGAAGCAGCTCATCTGTCCCATCTGCTTGGAGATGTTCACCAAACCTGTGGTCATCCTGCCCTGCCAACACAACCTGTGCCGCAAGTGTGCCAACGACGTCTTCCAGGTGAGACTCACACACACACACACACACACACACACACACACACACACACACACACACACACACACACACACACACACACACACACACACACACACCTGTGAGAGAGAGCGAGAGAAAGAAGGAGTGTGTATAGTTGAGGTCTGACGGGTGTGTGTTGCTTTCAGTCTGTGTTGTTTTTAATGACACCTGTACCTGTCTGATGCCCCGCCCCCTGCAGGCGTCTAACCCCTACCTGTCAACCAGGAGTGGCTCCACGGTGACGTCCGGGGGTCGTTTCCGCTGTCCATCCTGCCGCCATGAGGTGGTCCTGGACCGACACGGCGTCTACGGGCTGCAGAGGAACCTGCTGGTGGAGAACATCATCGACATGTACAAGCAAGGCAGCAGCAGGTAACACACACACAGACACACACAGACGCACACACACACACACACACACACACACACCTGGAACCAGGCTCATATACACCTGTGCTCACCTATACACTATAATAAAACACAAAGGTGACTCTCTCCTCTCTTGTCAAACAGCCTCAAAGCTGCGAAAACAAACAAACAACAAGAACACAAAAACAACAAAAACACAAAAACAACAACCACACTAACAAGATCCAAAACAACAACAACAAAAATCCAACAACCAAAAAACAGTCACGACAACAAAAACAATCAAAACAACTAAAACAACAAAAAAATAACAAGATCCAAAACAAGGAAGAAAAAAATAAAATAAATCTAATTACCAATAACAAAAAACCCTGAAAAAACAACAAAAAACAAAAACAATCAAAAACAACAAAATAAATCCAACAATCATTCAAAAACAACAGCACTAACAAGATCCAAAACAACAAAAAAATAAATCCAACAACCAAAAAACAACGACAACAAAAACAAGACCCAAAACAACAATGAAAAAAATCATACAAATAAAAAACAACAAAAAACCTTTACAACAAAACAACAAAACAACCAAAACTACAACAAAAAATAAAACAATAAAACCGACAACCAAAACCAGAATAACAACAACAAAAACAACAACAAACACAACAACTTTTATCACCTGATCTAAAACTGTATCTCGTTTTCCTCAAATCCTTTAATTGTTTAGATCTAAAACCGTTAGACCCTCAGTAAGATGAAAACATTTATTCTTTGGTTTGATACTGACAGAAAACTGTGTCGTCCTAAATCAAAGCTTCAGATGTAAACATTCTCCCTCCTATTAAAGCATGGTGGCTACATGCTACCTAGCTACATGCTATCTAGCTAAATGCTCACAGATATTTACTTGTTGTATCTGACATCATCAGTCAGAATAGGAGGAGTTTAAAGCTAAAAGCTCTTAGTGATGATAAACATATAAAATAATAACGTTAGTGAATTCAGCTGACCTAACAGTCATGCTACTGTAGCATCTCGCTAACTATTAGCCTGCAGAATCTCTACGCTTAGGTCCTGTAATGATGCTAAGCTAAGCTAACTTTGTGAGCACATGGTGAGCTACATGTGCAGCTGTGTGTCAACAGGCTGTTTACTGAGGAGGAGGAGGAGGAGGAGGAAGACAGTGATGAAGGTGACAGGTGTGTCTTAGCTGTTAGCCGTTAGCACAGTTAGCTGTGAGTCCAGTTCTATTTTTAAATGTGGGTCAATGAGACAGCAGCTTCACAGGAATGTCCCTCAGAAGGACGAGGACATGTGCTTCAGGGTCCATCACAGGAGAGTCTGCTTTTTAAAAAACATCGAAATAAAATTCACAATTAAGAAATAAAGAATTAAAACAGTGACTAATGAGAGGAGAAACATGAACACGTCAAATTATTGAGTAACATTAAAACAGGATCGTTTTCTCGTCCAGATTTAAGCTTTTAGAAACACTGACAGAGTGTAACAGGAACAGTCTGTGAGGGTCTTTTATACTGTGGCCCCAAAGGTTTACGGCATAAACATTTACATTAAACACACAAAAAGAAAAACATAAAAACAATTCACACAAAAAATATTTCACAAAATGCAAAAACACATTTGAAAACATAAACTTTTTCATAAAACACAAAAAATCAGAAACAAAAAAGCTTTTCACAGAATATTTATTTCGATAAAACTTTAAATAAATAACAAAAATGGTTCATAAATAACTTTAATCATGTGTGTCATAGTTACGTGTTTGTCAACTTTAACACAGAGATATCGTGTGTGTGTGTGTGTGTGTGTGTGTGTGTGTGTGTGTGCAGTCAGCCCGTCCCTGAGGTGAAGCAGCAGCAGCCGATGTGTGAGGAACACGAGGGAGAGAAGATCAACATCTACTGCGTCACCTGCAGCGTTCCCACCTGCTCTATGTGTAAGGTGTTCGGGTCGCACAAGGACTGCGAGGTCGCCCCGCTCAACAACGTCTTCCTCACGCAGAAGGTGAGGGGGGCGGACAGGGGAGGACGGGGGGGACAGAGTAAGAGACAGGGGGGACAGACTGGTGTTCACTGAAGGAGTCAATCAGACGGGGTTATGGGACCGTTTTCGTCTACAGACAGATTTAACAGTCAGAGGAGTCGCCCCCTGCTGGTCATTAGAGGGAGTACAGGTTTGTTCTGACTTTACCTATAATGTCCTCTTCTCTATGACCACCTGTGTCAGAAACGCAGGCGGTACAAACTGACCAATCACAGCTGTTGTTATTTCTCTGTCAGACCTTGAGAGTCAGTGTTACTGTCTGACCACCAGAGGGCGCACAGACGCCATCATTGAGCTTTCCTAACAGAAACTGACTGTTCAGAGATGTGAGAGGAGCTCTGTCTCCGTGTGACCCGACAGAGTTGGAGTTATGTCAGATTTAAAGTGTGTGTGTGTTTGTTTTTGTGTTATTGTGGGGACCAGACACTGACAGACTCTCTCTCTTGTGGGGACCTTCTTGCTTGTGCAGATATTTTGTAAAGTCTTAACAAAAAGTGTGTGTGTGTGTGTGTGTGTGTGTGTGTGTGTGTGTGTGTGCAGGCCGAGCTGACCGACTGTATCTCCATGCTGGTTGGAAACAACGAGCGGACTCAGGCCATCATCAGTCAGCTGGAGGAAACCTGCAGAACTGTAGACGTGAGTTCATCAAACCGCCGCTCTCTCAGATTTTAACGTTGAAACTTTAACGAGTTTTTATAATTTAGACCTAAATCGAAGTTTACTCTTGACAGTTACACTCACTTTAGTAACTCGGATCATCACTGTTTAGACCTGTATAATCTGTCGTCTTTAATCATCGCTGTTATGGTTTCCCCTCCCCCGCTGCACACCTGCTCTACCTGGGCGCCGTGTTTGTGTGTCTCAGGAGAACGGGCGCAGACAGAAGTCGAAGGTGTGCGAGTCGTTCGATCACCTGTTCGCCCTGCTGGAGGAGCGGAAAGGTGAGATGACTCTGAGGATCAACTGTGAGCAGGAGGAGAAGCTGGACTACATCCGCAGCCTGAGGAGGAAGTACAGCGAGCACCTGGAGAACAGCGCCAAGCTGGTGGAGACCGCCATCCAGACCCTGGATGAGTCCGAGATGGCCGTGTTCCTGCAGGTGACCCTGAACACACCACACCCTCACAGGAAGTCTGTTTGGATGGTTCTGATTGGTCACATTTTCACATTAATTAATTAGTTAATTAACTAATTGTTGAATTGATCAGTTATTGATCTTTCTTCTTTCCTCCTCAGACAGCCAAACCTCTGCTGCAGAAGTGAGTGTCCGTCTCAGACATCATGTGACTCTGTGTGTGTTGTCATGGTAACATGCCTGCAGGTGTCACTTCACCTGTTGTTTGTATGTTTGGCGTTCAGGCTGGTGGGCGGCACCGACACCTCGCACATGGATAAGGTCCAACACGGCTACGAGAAGATGGACCACTTCACCGCCAACTTTGAGCGCCAGAGGAGAGCGCTGAGCAAGATCGACTTCGTCAAACGTAAGACGCACCTGTGTGACATCATTATCTCACCATCCAATCAGAGACAAGGAGGATGAACTCAAGAGAGGGCTGAGACGACAGAGGTTATCTGAGACGATTGAAAGCAGTCAGGAGAAACATCATCATTAATATCCTGTCCAACGCCGGTACTTCCTGGTATCGTCTCTGTGTGGTAAATACTGCTCGTTACGAAGCGCTCTGATTGGTCTTTAGGGAATAAAAAGGACAGACTCCTCCTTTAAACAGTTTATCTCAGATGACTCTCAGGCGTCGGCGTTTCATCCGCTGAGCTTCGTGACGACACTGTTAGCGAAACGTGTTAGCATGGCTGATGTTATCGTACTGTTCATGGCGTTGACCTCACATGACCTCTGTGCCGTCCCCTTAGTCGACGAAGACGATGATGATGAAGATGACGAGGTTGTGGAGGTCAGAGGGACGACAGCAGGAAGTCGAGTTGAGCCGCCACCACCTCAAGCTACAGGACTGTCAGCCAATCAGCAGCCTCTGCCGGCTGCTGTTCAGCCAACAGGAGCTCAACTTTCAGCCCCGCCCCCTCAGAAACCCTCAGAGGCTCCGCCCACCACCAGCAGCACCTCACAAACAAAGAGCCCCGCCCCTTCAACATCTGCGCCTGTCCCTCTGCCCCTCCCCACTGCCAGCTCCGCCCCCCAGGTATGACATCAGTGTAACATTCAGGTGCTGCTGGGAAATCTGAGCGTCCTGTTTCTTAAAGACGGAGAAACCCTCCAATCAGGAGGGTTAGTGTGTGTGTGAGTGTGTGTGTGTCTGTGTATGTGTGTCTGTCTGTGTGTGTATCTGTGTGTGTGTCTGTGTGTGTGTGTGTGTGTGTCTGTGTGTGTCTGTGTCTGTGTGTGTCTGTGTGTGTGTCTGAGTGTGTCCAGTTCTTATCTAACCTCTAACAGCTGACCGTCTCTCCTGGTTCTGCAGCAGGTTCAGTCCGATCAGCAGAACGAGTCTGAGGACAAAGATGGACCCAAACACGTCTTCTCCTTCAGCTGGCTCAACCAGAAATGAGACCAGAGAAACCAGTGAAACCAGTGAGTCCAGGACCAGGACCAGAACTGGGCCGGGCTTTTCTATCATTTTATAACCACAGAAACAGAGACCGTCTTTGTACCGGGTCGGTCTGAACGTCTGTCTGTTAGATATTTTATTTTTATGTGTGATCATCTGTTTTATTGTTCTGAATAAATTATGTTTTATTTTGAAGGGCTGTTTCCCGTCTTACTTCTAATTATTATAATAATAGTAATTATTATTATCAATAAATATAAATATTAACAAATATAAATATGTTGTCTAACAGGATAAATAACAGATGTCCTGCTTACTGGAAGTCAATCGATTCAATCTTGATATTAAATCTCTAAATCTAATGATTAAAAACAAAATATCAGAATGTTGATGATTTAAATTAAAAAATTCTAATTTCTCTGTAAAACCAGACGACTAAACCGATTAAATGAAATAATAACAATAATAATCAAGTTTTAACACTGTCATGTTTTTGATATGTTGTGAATACAAAAATTTAAAAAAAAAAAAAAAAAAAAGTAACATTTAGCCTTATTTTGAAAAGCTCGGGCGGAAGTAATGCGCCGTATAGACGCTTTCTATGGTCTTCCCGCCCTGTCGCAGTTAGATCAGCTGCTCCTCGCGCTGCATCTTCACACCGACTCTTTACGAAGATGACCGGACGGGACCGAGTGGTTCACCTGCTCAGACAGCTGGAGCGCGCGGCGTAAGTTCGATAAAAGTTCGATAATCGATCATTAAAGAAAGAGTCACAGGTAAAGGTGAGCTCGTGCAGCACGGAGCGGTGACGTTTAAAGAGCAGGACCGCCCACCATGTTGTTTTTCTGTCTGAAGGGGAGAGGAGTCCGACCAAACCCCGTTCAAAAATCTGAGGGTTAAGGAAATCTGTGTTCTAATGAGGGTTAGCCTCAGTCCAGAGAACCGGTTTAAACTTAAATTATATCAGTATGAAGAGTCTGGACCATCGGCCTCATGATGGACCATGAAGAGGACTAATAAACCCTTTAGAAACCGGGTCAAAGAGTCTGCTGGGTGGACCTGGGAGACCGCCAGTCGCGGCCGGTATACAAGACGCTGCGAGCGGAACCCCGCCTGAGCAAAAAGAGATGTCTGCTGTCTCCCTGAAAATGATTCTCAAAGTAAGGAAATGGCGCTATTATATTCATCATTCCATTAAATGTGTATTTCAGTCCGTTAGCGCTCTCTCCACCCAGCGCCGGGGCGGACTCGGAACGTCTTTTGTCTCACGCATGCTCAGATCACAGTTCTGCATTAAAAAGTTAGCTTATCCTAGCCACATACAAAATCCTTAAGGGGCGCCAAACATATGGCGCCAATACGGTGGCCTGGAAGTGCAAAACACAACCGCAAAAGAGAAAACACGACAGCAAATCAAAACACAAACGCAAAAGAGAAAACGCAAACACAAAAAAAGAAAACACGACAGCAAATCAAAACACAAACGCAAAAGAGAAAACGCAAACACAAAAAAAGAAAACACGACAGCAAATCAAAACACAAACGCAAAAGACAAAATGCAAACACAAAAAAAGAAAACACGACAGCAAATCACATATGCAAACACAAAAAAGACAACGCAACCGCAAATCCCAAAACAGGACAGCATCATCGGTCTTCCTCTTCTTCTTCGTTGTAGTTTAATAGCAGTTTACTCCGCTGGGGGTGGAGTACTACTGCCACCTGATGTGGGAACGGGAAAGTAAGCGCTCGAATCGACTCATCTGTCCTTTGACCCGGAAAGGGTCAAACACGAAGCGCGCCTGACGATGTATTGCCGGTATTGTGGCAAAGAGCTCCCGGGAAAACCTAACTTTTGTAGCAGTTGTGGGAAAAGGCTGCAAGAAGCGGACGGTGACAGTCCATCAAGTAAGTTAAGGGATGTTCAATTAATGTGTTCTGCTACTTGTGGGAGTTAAGACATTACAGTAGCAGCGTTAATGTGCGTCTCTTTCCTTCCCCTGCTCAAGCACCGGCTCCACGGCGGGATGTCGGAAAGGCGGTTGCCCCCCTGCGTGACGAAATTGACCATATTAATATCTCAAAATGTAAATCAGCACAAACGAAAATGTTTGCGGCACGAACATTTTCGTGCGAGACCATTTTGAGCTAATTTGAAAGATAAGTGGGGACTGCTTTACCCACTGAGCAAAAGACGTATATTAGATGTCTAGTCTAAGTTTATACTTCATTTCAACGTCGATTTCGTGTGTTGTCGTGAAAGTAAATGAGGGCCTGCTCTCTCTGTTGGAGCCAAGGTTAAAAAGCTGCTAGTTAGGCTATCCATTTAAATTAGACAATGAATTCTATTTTGATGCCAGTACTGTTGTTTTTGGTTATCCAGTGGTATTTTTTATATAGTTAAATTTGTGTTTAACTGTGATTGTCATAAATGTGTTTTTCACTATGTGTGGTAGAATTGGGACGCATTACTTGAATTATTCCAATAGTATTTTGTTAATGGATTAGCAGTGCTATAGGAAATTCTAATAGTAAAAATCTAAAAGTATTGGTATTGAATTTTTTTTTTTACCAAGAGCGAAAGGTATTTATTATGCATTATGTTCTGCTTCACAAGTTGCCAATTGTACTAAAAAAAATAAAAAATAAATTTATAATGGTTGATCTACAAGCTCACACTGTTCTTTTTCCATGTGTTTTCTTTCCAGCCATATTGAATATGGCCTCTAATTATTTGAAAGAGTGGCAGAGAAAAAGATCTAGCGAGGGTGATTTCTTGGATGAATTCACTAGTGATGAGGATGTGTCACAGGAGGACACACAGGCAGTATACTGCCTTGACCACTGCAATAATGTTCGATAACTCAAAAACTAAAGCAGAACAAACGAACATTTTTGCAGCACAAACCTTCATAAACGATGCACAAACGATTACAAGACTTGGTGTTTTCAAAGTTTAGAAACACAGTGACTAAAGAAACATCAGTGGGCACGTTTTTGTAATTAGTCATGGTTCTCAAAGTTCATTATTTGTTGTTATTATTAAAGCTGTTCTATAAAGGTTAAAGCACCATATAAAAGTAACCCATTAGTAAAATATCCTGTGCGGTTCTCCTCCTCTGATCATAGCGGCATCCTTAGCAGCATTCTGTTATACAGAAATAAGAGACCCAAAATTTTACAATATTTTTTTCTTTGTTTTCCTGTAGCATCACAGACTATTCAAACCCCTACTCTTCAGACCTTTCTGGAGTACAGAAAGAAGAAAGCAGAGGAGAGGCAAAAGTTTTCATGTGGGAAAAAGGCAGCAAAGAAACCAGAGAAAGTCCAGGCAAGTTGGGTGTGGCTCAGAGCGAGAGTGGGCAAAGTATCTTACAGACTATCTTTTGACATTCTCCATCATCTCACTTCTCTTAAACTAAGCCTGATGGCAGGCACAGTTTCATGTTAACCGTATATGACATATGATGACATATATTTTAGCTTGGCTTCGGTGCCACAACCCATGGTAGTCAGACAATTTCTCTGACTCTTTGTATTAACTTTGTATATATTTGCTAGTTTCTGTCCATAATGTATAATTAACTGTGGCATGCAAATATACATTATATTACCAATTAACTGTCAATTGATATTTAACATGACCCACTAACAGTCCACTTTTTAAAAAAATCTTGCAGATAAATGTTGGTCTGGTGAGCATGGTGAAGGGAGGTGGTCTCAAGCCACTGCGTGGGAGAAGTCTGTGCCTTTCCACACATCCTGACATCACTGCCCCAGATCTGCTTGATCAGGCTGTGAAAAAAATGAAGGACTTCAATAAAGACCTCGATGATGGACCTTTCATCCTTCTTTATCCAGATTGCTCTGAAGTGGTCAATGTACCTGGCACAGAGACACCATTTATGTTAAAGACATACAAGGAGGAAATTGGCAAACCATATCAGCGCATCACCATTTACATCTGCTCCAAAACCGACTTTGAGGAAGGTAAATTGTGTTATGTCCTAGTTGTGTCCAGTGCAAAGATGCCTGGCTGTGTTATATAGATTTTGATGTAGACACTGGGTTTTTAAAAGATGAGATGTTTTAATGGCTTACCCTCACTTTTGGATTAGCAGTTATGAATTTTCACTGAATCATGTGAAATAGGTCCTTGGATTTTGTTAGTCTTTCCTCAATGTGTTTTCAGCATTCAATGTTCATGCTCAGTGAACCAGCTTGGAGTTAAAAAAGCATTTTCTCTATGTTTTAACTTCTTCTCAAGCATTTATCATTCAATTGATCTTAGTTTTGTTTAATGTTTTGCAGTTGGAAAATTGTCTGCCACATGTGACACTGACTCTGACCCTGAGATTGTTATAAAGAGAAATACAACGCTTGATCTAGCTGATACACTGGTAAGTGCAATTTTTACCCTATTTGGGTGACCATTTACTGGTGCTAAACAAATATTTGTCTTTACCACAGCCATTTGAACCTTATAACATGAGCAGTCCTGTACACAATGAGCCTGAAGATCTGTAAGTACTTATGGTGTGTGTGTATGTGTGTGTGTGTTTGATGTTTGCTTGCTTTTGTAATGTCACTTCTATATTTTGTAGTAAATTATGATTTCTGCTTCTATGCCCTCTCAGGAACAGTGCTAGGGGGCTTTCATTGTCTTCTGATCTGCCACAGGTAATGAGTTTTTAAAACGAAGTTTGTGTAGGGATCACTAGGTCAAAGATTTTAAAAATTGTTGATGGGCCACAAAATTGATATTGGTGCACCGATTTTATAGCTGTGTTTTTTTAGTTGTAATTTATGTCCTTGAGCACTCATGAGGAGCTGTCTTTATTTGCTAAAATATTTAGCATATTTCTACATTTCTATATTTCTTCTTTCTTTTCAGACCATAGTATTGGATAATGACCACGACTATGCTAGTCCCTCTGGATGTCATGATGTCAAGAGCTCATGTTACAGGTGTGTTATATCTTATCTTAAATGTTAAATGTTTGACAGAATACTTGTGACGCAGCCAACAAAGGTGTCGACTCGGAAATAAAACATTTCTGTCCTGACAAGGATAAGGTCTTATGTTTAAAGCAGAAGAATTGGTCAACCATTTGATAGGGCAAATGCCTGCATTTCTGAATTTATTAGTGCTTTGAATTGTTGATGTTCTGCGCAAATAATATCTTCCTTTTTCAGAACTTACACTGACCTCTTTGGACCTATCATCATTGATGATGATGATGAGGATGAAGTTCCCATTCCTGACAAAACACATGACATGGCTTCTGAAGAATTTGAGTGAGTCATAGACATTAGAAAATTAACCAACTGTGTGTTTTCCATAAAATTACATCATTCAAAAGTGAGAAGTCACTAAAATGAACACCTCAGACTTTCCCTGCCTGTAACTGCCTGCCTCAGGTCCAGTTGTTAAGATGTGTGTTTGAGTAGAGTCCATTGAAAAGAAGTTATTAAATTAAATGTGCTCATTGTTTCAGAGAGTGACTCATCAGCATCTCTTGTACATAAATCAACATTTAAGTATATTTTAGAGTGTAAAGTAAGTGTCTTACTTTTTCTTTTCTTAAGACCTACAAGTGTGCAGGCAGCAGAAGTAATTGCAAATCTGGCACTTGCAATTGACCACAAGAAAGTCAGCCGGTTCAATATATCAAGATCTGATGTGTGGGATGGAGCTGTGCGCGGATTTCGACGCAGCACATACTCCGAATCCAGTGACATCTTCGTCAAGTTTACAGATGACGCCGGTTCCTTTGAAGAGGGGTTGGATACAGGTGGGCCAAAACGAGAATTCCTAACACTTCTCATGACTCACCTCAGAAATCGCCCCATCTTTGATGGACCTCCCGAAAGACGATATCTCGTGTACAATTCCACAGGTGGGTTTAATAATAGGACAGATTGTATTTTAAAAATGTTAAGTTTCCAATCATTTCGTCATCATTTTTTTTTCAAGTGATGTAGATGATAATCATGCATAATTGTTCTCTAACCTCTGTAACAGCTGTCAGGGAAGACGAATACTTTCTAGCAGGCAAGATGATAGTTGTTTCCATTATACACGGGGGACCTGCACCACATTTCCTCTCAAAGGACCTTGTCAATCACCTTCTAGGGAAGACAACTTTCAACGCCACTGTGGAAGATGTAACCGATGAGGAGTTACGGAAAGCTCTGCGTCAGGTAGAAAAAGATCTCAACTCATGGACTGAATTTGCTAAGGGGTCACATGAAAATTATTTCAGAAATTGAGAGTGGACTATGCTCAAGGTCATAAGTTATATTTATGTAAAGGGATGGATTTCTTATTATTTCAATGAGAAGTAAAGGCATTTAATCCTATTGGTATAAAATAATGACAAACATTTTCAGGATTTATATCTTTGTATTTTTCTTGCAATAATTGTTTTTGAATAGGTTCAGGAAGCTGAATCGGACGAATCTTTGCAAGATGTAATTTTGCAATACAGCACAATGTTCCAGACAGCTGGATGCCTCCGACGCACTAAAGTTCATGAGAGGCATATGCTCATAGAGGACTATCTGAGGTGGTACATCCTAGGACGCAACCAGATTGCCATTCAAAGGTAAGTTATCTTAGGCTGCTTTTTTACTAACGCTCGTCAATAATATTTTAGAAAAGTTTTTTTCTTTCCTCATCATTTTTTCTCTCCTCCTCTCATGCTCCTCTCGTCATCCTCCCCTCCTCTTCTCCTTTCCTCCTCCTACTTCTCTCCTCTCCTTCCCTTCCATTCTCTCCTCTTCTCCTCTTCCTCTCATGCTCCTCCTCTCCTCCCCTCCTGAGTGGGTGGCAGCTTTCAAAAGGTTGACAACCCCTGTCTTACACAATATTTGTCCTTAATAGATTCAAAGAGGGACTGGCAAGTCTGCAGTTTTTGACTGCTCTGCAGCAGCATTCAGGTGTGCTGGCTCCTATTCTGTGCCATTCTTCCAAGGCCCTGACTGCATCAGAAATGGAGAGCCTCTTCCGTCCAGACCGCAGCCCAAGAGGCAGCAACAGGTGGCAGAAGGAGAACCAAACAATTGGATTTTGGGCTGACTTTCTTCTGGATTGCGAAGGTTTGTCAAGGCTTTGTTAGATGTTTATTAATTGTAGTGTAGTTATATTTATAATTAGTATTTTCTCTGATCAAATATATGACTAACTAAAATGTTGACTTTTTTGTCCTTAGAAAAAGTGGCAGCAGTGTCCCTCGAAGATGTGCTTATGTTTGCCAGTGGCTTAGCAGCGCTTCCACCAGCTGGAATGACACCCTCTCCAAGTATAGAGTTTTTAATCGATTCTCCTTTTCCAATGGCGTGCACCTGCACAAACACTCTGAAGCTGCCGCTATTGGATACTTACAGAGTCTTTAAGACAAACATGGAGTTTGGAATCCAGAATGCTCCAGGATTTGGATGTTTTTAGCTGCCATAGGAACCTTTCAAGCATAAAAGCGATTTGTTTACCTTTGTGAGGGCTTATGTCTCTGCAGTTAGCTACATGCATAGTTTAACGTTCACCTGTGTGAGGGCTTGCATATATTTCAGTCTGTGCAGTTAGCTGTATGCACAGCTTACCCATTATATTATCTGGATCCTTTATGGTTTTCTTTTGTTTATTACTGGTTCTTTTCGTCTCTCAATAACTTTATTTATTTTAATTTTTTTATTATTATTTAAAATGTTGAAATAACTGCTGGACACTGTACAGTTTTAGTAAAAATGTTTAATAAAGTTATACCTGTCACAGTTTACAAAAAAATGAGGTATTCCCAATTCTTGTCCACAAAGATTCATAAAAATTTAGAATAACAACTAAAGTGGTTAAAAAATGCTCTTTTTTTTCAAATAATTTAAGTCAAAAACCAGTGCCTCCCACCACCATCTACACATATTAATATAACTATACACATTCTCACAACTGACAGTAGGGAGACATGGTTAGGCACTGAAGATCGGGGGAAACGCCAATCTGCAGGGCTGTTAACACTGGTTGGAGCAGCAGGGTAAGGACTGTGCCAGCAGCTGGACCCCCCTAAACTGACTGATGAGTGGACAAACATAGTGGAGAGCAGCCCGACCAAAGGGACCTGGGACTCAGTCTCTACAGCCCAGCTATTTGCTTCAGAGTGGTGTAAAGGTCTGAGGCTGTCCTCCAGTCTTGTGGCTGTTGTAGTCTGTTTTGTTCCACAGCCTGTTGTAGGTATTCCTCAATGTCTGCATCACTGTAAAAATCAATCTCTTGTCTTGCCTCGGGAAACACATCCAGCTCTGCATCTTCAACAAATAATCCACAGTCCCTTGAACCAAATCTGAAAAAAAAGATGATACACAGAAACATTTATCAACAATCGCAGAGACTGAGCCTCTAAATACAAGATTGTACTAACTTTTGCTCCTTGAATAAGCAGAGGAGAGAGAGAGGAGAGCATGGAGGAAGAAGAGGAACGAATAGGAGAGGAGAGGACCACTAGAGAGAACCACTGATGTAAACCTTTACTACCTGTGGGGCAAGAGATATAGTTCATTTGGGATCCCTCCTGGACATGATGCTGGTCTGCTTGGACGAATCCGGTGCTTATTCCACAGGTCCACGCATTCATCCAGGTCTTTCTGAAGGACTTTACTGAAGCAAAATCTCAGCAAACACTGGTGTTCGTGGCTGCCATTGAAAAATCCAGAGTCTCTCAGGTCTCCAAAAAGGTCCATCCAAAACTGAGACCTGGGGATACATTAGACATGAAGTTACTTACTTCACACAGAACAAATCAGACTGGAAACGTATTCAGCCACTGATATAATTGCATTTTGGCGGTAGAAACATTTCTATGCACTTTGTATTCATATGAAAAAGTTGAAGAACACATTTGAAACACTGAATTAAAGCTAATGCAAAGCTGTTTGTTATTTAATGTGAATACTCACAATGACAGACATGGGAGTGAAAAATCAACAGTGGACAAACACAGTCGATCACTATACAGTTACCAATAAACATTTCACCTTTCAATGATAGATTTACCAACCTTCCTCTTCTGAAAAAAGACCACCACGACTCGATGCGCTGATTCCCTGTTGATGAGCCGTAACTGTGGCTGGACAAGCCTGCATAATAGTCCGTATGCCCATGGCGGAGGGTGCATTGTATTGCTGCCATTGTTCCGTTTTCTGTTCCGAGGTCAGTTCGTAATCGCATTGGAACAACACCAATAGTCCTGACGCAGTTTATGTAGTTGTGAGCGATGACAGATGGATTGTTGTTTGACGGTCCACAAACAAGCCACATGATTCTTCGTGAAAATCCATCTATGCATCCAGAGAGAGCCAGGCCAAATGGTTTGAGTTTATCGTATCCATCGACATGCCATATATAGTTTGGACCCATGGAGTGATAGGTACGCCGTGTGAACCTCCTGCGTCTCCTCAGAGCCGTCCGTTGTGGGCTCAGTTGTCTGAGCAACCTCATTACCACGTCACGTTTTACACGAAGTCCAAGTTTCTGTTGTAGGACTTGCCACATAGTCCGATATCCGAATAGTTGCCCTGGTCCATCAAGCTCGGTCAGAATTGCACGCCTCACCTCGAATATTGGGGAGTAGTTACGGCGTCTAAAGAAGCCAGCTTCTTTCAAGCAGGTCTTCAGCGTTCGAACGCTCATGCCAATGCCGTGAATAGTTGACAACATGTCGACTATAACGTCATATGTGTGTCCTGCATGAAAATATTGTTGGATAATTTCGAGCAAACTTTCGCTTTCGGCGTCCATGTTCGGGTTTACTTTCCCGTTCCGACATCCAGCAGGTGGCAGTAGTACTCCACCCCCAGCGGAGTAAACCGCTATTAAACTACAACGAAGAAGAAGAAGACCGATGATGCTGTCCTGTTTTGGGATTTGCGGTTGCGTTTTCTTTTTTGTGTTTGCATTTGTGATTTGCTGTCATGTTTTCTTTTTTTGTGTTTGTGTTTTCTCTTTTGTGTTTGTGTTTTGATTTGCTGTCGTGTTTTCTTTTTTTGTGTTTGTGTTTTCTCTTTTGTGTTTGTGTTTTGATTTGCTGTCGTGTTTTCTTTTTTTGTGTTTGCGTTTTCTCTTTTGTGTTTGTGTTTTGATTTGCTGTCGTGTTTTCTCTTTTGCGGTTGTGTTTTGCACTTCCAGGCCACCGTACGCCAAGGACGAGCGCCCAAGCGTCCCTAATTTGAATGACGTAAGCACGTTCATAACCAGATTGGCCACAAACTGACGCATAGTTACAATATGCGTCTGACGTAGCTAGCTCCTCTACTCGGAGCCGGTCCGCCCCTCACTCTGCACTTGGCTGCGAATGACGGAGGACGTGGAAATGGCGGCCGCAAACCCCCTACCGAGTGATTTACCGAAGAACGCTGCACTGTCCATCAAGTAGGTCCCGTTTGAGAGGAGAACTCTGTAGGACTAACTAAAGCTGGAAGAGCTCGGTCCGGATCGACCAGACGTCGCCGCTCAGCGAGTAGAGCAGACAATATCGGCGGACATTTTGAAGCAGGGTAAAGGCGCGAAGCACGGCTAACTGTAAGTACGGAGAGGAAGGCTCTTTTCTGTTTCCTGTTAATGGTGACAAAAAGAAATTTTAAAGCTGGCAAAATATCATTTCAGCGACTGAATCAGTCAGTCAGCAGAATCTGTATGTAGAAAAGTAGAGTATGTAAAGATTAAAACCTAATATAAACCATAAAATTATCATAGTGAGACATTAAAGCCAGACTAAAAAGAAAGCTAACAGACAATGTTCATGCCACAATATTAGAAATCAATAACTTTTAAGGCAGGATGAAAACGTCCTGGAAAAGTCCTGGAAAATGGTTTCTATAAAAGAGTGGGAATCCTGTATTTGTTCAGTTTCAATTCAGTTCAACTGAAATATCAAATAAAACTGTTCTGTGTTTAAAGCAAATGTTTGTGTTGTTTTCCTTGATCATGTTCAGCCTGATTTGTTATAAATGTGGGTCTGATCTTCACTATTGTTCTGCTGTTGTCTTTGTGTGCTCCTCTGCTGTAGCCTAACCTGTTGAGATGCAGGTGGATGTACATGAGTAAGAGTATGGAGACCCCTCAGCTCTGACTTTGTTCACTAACTTTACATTTGTCTGTTCGTCTGCAGATGGCGAGTTCCAACATCCGATACGGCGAGGGAGTCAGCAGAGAGATCGGCATGGTAACCAAACATCATCATCAGTTATAGCACATACCTGAAGTCACCTGTAATTCTCACCTGTTTCTGTGAGACCTGATGAAGGTCCTGTCCTCCTTAAAGTGGAGCCGTCAGACTCACCTGTTCACCTGTCCTCCCGAGACACCTGCAGGTTAGCTTAGCATGATCAGCAGCTCTGATATATATATATTTATATTTATATTAATATAGTATAGTATGTTAAAAATTTCAAATGAGCGCAAAAATTGATTTCATATTTTAGTATGAAAAAATGTCATAGTATATTGTATGGTCAAATGTAATAGTTAAGTATGGAAAAAAAATCACATGGTATGATAAAAAATATGTCATAGTATAGTTTGACAACATTTCATAGTAAAGAACATTAAAAAAACTTCATAGAATAGAATGATAAAAACATAAAAGTATTGTATAATTAAAATGTAGTATAGTATGATGTAAAATGTCATGGAATAGTATGTTAAAAATGTCATGGTATATCCATCCATCTTCCTCCGCTTATTCCCGTTCTGGGGTCGTTGTGGGGCTGCAGCCTTTCCCAGCATCTTCAGGTGAAGGCAGGGGGACACCCTGGACAAGTCACCAGTTCATCGCAGGGCAGACATATAGAGACGATCAACTGTCCACACTCACATTCACACCTACAGGCAATTTGAAAGTGGCCAATTAACCTAACCCCACTCCTGCATGTTTCTGGGATGTGGGAGGAAACAGGAGTACCTGGAATAAACCCACGCAGACACAGGGAGAACATCATCAACAATCTTCAGCTGAAACAACCAGGAACCCTGACACCGAGGCTGCCCCTCCCCAAACTTACCGCGTTACCATGGAGATCTAACACTCGAAGGTCTTGGAGTCCAAACTGCTGATTTGTTCAGTTTGAAACTTGTCGAGGAGATGTTTCTCTACCTTTAAAAGGACTTTAATCTCTGACGGTCAAAATGCAAAAGCTGTAAAAGAGCAGAGAGCTGAATAAAAGCAAACTGTCAAAGAAAAAGTGAAAACGTAGAAATGTCTGTGATGTGTTGAGAGCAAAATTCAAGAGTCTCTGACAGTAAGAGGAGATATATAACACAAAGTATGAGAAACTGAGAAAAGACAAGCACACATCTGCTGAAGGAGTTAAAACAGGTGACAGTTAATAATCTGTGAAATCTGAAGAACTGAAAAACAACCCTGAAAACACTCGATCAGCATCAGTTTCAGAGTCTCCTTGAACTTGTTCTTCTCACTGACAGATTTAAAGGTTTTCAGAAGGTCAATCAGGATGTTTCTCCTCCTTCAGTGATCATCTCAGCTCAGAAACAGGAGCTCACACCTTTGTGGAGGTGACTGAGGCTGGAACACAAAGACCTTTAGAGATCCCTCTGGTTAGAAAAAGACTCCTGTGTGTTTCAGCTGAAGACACAACAAAGCTGTTTGTTATTAAGAGGTAAAAAAGTCATTGACACTCAAACTGAGTCCACTTACAATCACTGCTTCACTTTATTTAACACTGATTTAAGGAGTTTATTTGGTCTGTTTGTTTTAAACTCAGCCATCAGCGCCCTCTGCTGGTGACCGCAGGAACCATCATCAGTGTCTCCATCCTGCTGTTTCTAATTATAGATCAATATTCTCTATTGAACCATGTTCACCTTTCTAATCAGAGAATAAACTGGAGCTGTCTGAGACATAAACAGATATTTACAAAGAAAGGTGATCAGGAACAACTTTAAAAAACAGCTGATGATCGAATGAAGACAGACTGAGCAGAGACAGTTCATCCATCAATCACTTTATTTATCAGTTTATAAATCACTTTTATTAATCAGTTTATTAATCAGTTTATCGATCACTTTCATCAATCAGGGCTCCATTATAAACTACAGTCACTACAGATAAACTGTAATAACATGTTTGGATTAAAATGATTGTAAGAAGTTTACAGTTAAAACAAAAGACCACAATATGAACACATGATTAATGTGACAAACTGATGAACAAATGAATATAGTGAGTAACTGATGAACACATGGCTATACTGAGTAACTGATGAACAAATGATTATAGTGACTAACTGATAAACACATGATTAATGTTAATAACTGATGAACACATGATTAATGTGACTCACTGATGAACACATGAATATTATGACTAACTGATGAACACATGATTAATGTGACTAACTGATGAACACATGATTATAGTGACTAACTGATGAACACATGATTAATGTGAATAACTGATGAACAAATGAATATAGTGAGTAACTGATGAACACATGAATATAGTGACTAACTGATGAACACATGAATATACTGAGTAACTGATGAACACATGATTGATGTGACTAACTGATAAAACACGATTAATGTGACTCACTGATGAACACATAATTTTTGTGACTAACTGATGAACACATGATTAATGTGAATAACTGATGAACAAATGAATATAGTGAGTAACTGATGAACACATGATTAATGTGACTCACTGATAAACACATGATTATAGTGACTAACTGATGAACACATGAATATTGTGACTAACTGATGAACACATGATTATAGTGACTCAATGATGAACACATGAATATTATGACTGACTGATGAACACATGATTATTGTGACTAACTGATGAACACATAATTTTTGTGACTAACTGATGAACACATGATTAATGTGAATAACTGATGAACACATGAATATAGTGATTAACTGATGAACACATGATTAATGTGACTCACTGATAAACACATGATTATAGTGACTAACTGATGAACACATGAATATTGTGACTAACTGATGAACACATGATTATAGTGACTCAATGATGAACACATGAATATTATGACTGACTGATGAACACATGATTATTGTGACTAACTGATGAACACATGATTAATGTGACTAACTGATGAACACTTGAATATACTGAGTAACTGATGAACACATGATTAATGTGACTCACTGATGAACACATGATTATTGTGACTGACTGATGAACACATGATTATTGTGACTAACTGATGAACACATGATTAATGTGACTCACTGATGAACACATGATTATTGTGACTGACTGATGAACACATGATTATTGTGACTAACTGATGAACACATGATTATAGTGACTAACTGATGAACACATGATTAATGTGACTAACTGATGAACACATGATTATAGTGACTCACTGATGAACACATGAATATTATGACTTACTGATAAAGTTCAGATCTTCACACAGACTGATTTTTTTAGAGACGGTCAGATTAAAAATCTGGTCAGGAGTTAAAAAAGTTGAAGATCAAACATCTCCAGACTTTGAAATTATTCTCACAGAAGAAAAACTGAAACCAGGTTGAACAGTCCTGGACTGAGTCTTCTCTCAGGATCTTCAGTCTTCTCAGGTGGACTTGGTTTCTTCACAAAGATCCAGCTCACTTATTTATTCCATCCAAAACTTTTTTACCAGCGTTGACCAGTCGGTTGCCAAAGTGTAGTCCGTAGTACCGCAGTCCTGCTCTGATTCCTTCATCCTCTCGTCTCTTCATCTCCTCCAGTTTCTGGACCTTCTCTGTCTCTCCTTTCTCCTTCATCCCCTTAATCAGGAAGTCCAGGTGGACATGAGTGGACAGTGAATTGGTATTGAGGGCGATCTGCTCCAGTTTGAGGACATGCTGGAAAGACTCCTCCAACCATCGATCTTTGTCCCTCTGAAGTTCTTCAGCTTTACTCTTCAGAGCTTCCAGGAGATCTGTTATCTCATCACAGGTGGTTTTACTCTTTTCAAACTTCTCTTTCACATCTTCTTGGCCAGCATTGGTCTCCTTCAGATCTTTCAAACGTTTTTCCTTCTCCTCATGGTCTGTTCGGCTTCTTTCACACTTCTCTTTCACGTCCTGAAGGGTCTTCTTAACTTTCCTGGTCTTGATCACATACCTCCACTCCTCCTTCACGTGATCAGCTGCAGGGCATTTGTTGGTACAGGAAGTGCAGCGGCCATCTTTCATGACCTCACAGTGTTTGGGAGACCAGGCCACTGTGCATGGGTAGTGACAGTTCTCCTCACAGATGTTACAGGTGACGGCTCCTTCATAAAATAACCTCAAAAACCACCTCCCACCATCAATTCTTTCTTTTTCTTTGTAGACCTCGTCCACCTCCACAGTGAAGTTCTCGTTCCTCCTCATCTCTTCTTGGTGTTTCTTCAGAGCTTCCTGAATCTGCTGGATCTCGTTCTGTTGTCGTGCGATCAACTGAACTCGTTCCTGCAGGTTCTGAGTGCAGGCGGTCAGTCTGATGCGTGTCTTCAGAACTTCCACAGTTTTCGTCAGATCTTGAGGAGGAGTTTTCTCCAGAAAGTCAAAGAACTTCTTGATTTGTTCTGTTGTTATTTTCTCTGCAAATTCAAGGATGTCCATGTCCTCGTTCCTGTCTTGGTTTTGGCGGTTATTAAACCAGAAGTAAACTGGCTCATTGTTTCCATCGTTGGCGATCGGAATGTTTGCAGCCTCCAGAGCCTTCAGAGCATTTTTGGGTTTGCATCCATCTGAGTGTGTGATGAGGGCGATGATGTTGTCCTTCATGTTTTTCCCAAACAGAGACACCATGGAGTCAAAGACGTACCTCTGACGATCAGTCAGACGGTTCTCACTGGCCTTCAGAACCAGACCCACCACGTTCATCTCACGAACTCCACCCTCTGAGGAGAACAGCTGAAACAATCTTTGACCGACTGCATCGTCTTGTTTATCCTCTCTTGTGTCTCCAAATCCAGGAGTGTCGATGATGGTCAGAGAGTACGGCAGAGTTTGATCTTCAAAACCAAAGATCTCGTAAACTTTCACATCTAGGGTCCGACTTTTAGTCTGATCTGGTCTCTCCTCCTGACCTTGTTTCTCCTCCTGACCTTGTTTCTCCTCCTCCTCTGCGATCTCAAACCAGACATCGTCCTCCCACTTCACCCCCATGGCGTAGTTGACCAGAACGTTGATCAGAGCAGATTTTCCTGTTCCTGTTTCACCAACAAGTAAGATGGTTCTGTTTGTCTTGTTAGGATTTTTTTTACCCAGAGTAATTTTTGTCAGTGTTCCTATTTCCTGTTTTGTTCCTGTTTCCTGTTTTGTTCCTATTTCCTGTTTTGTTTCTATTTCCTGTTTCTTTGGTTTCAGCTGGTAGACATTAGGAGATCCTGAACGGATCAGAACTTTGTCGGTGATGTGGTCAAACTTGGATGAAGTTTTCCTGTAAAAGAGTAAAGATGTTTTTAATTCACTGACTTTAGTCTGGTTTGGAAACACAGCCTGTATTTTAGACGTCAGCCTTCTGTACTTCATTCTCTATAGTAAACATCACTGTGTGTTTCCATGCCAACCATAAATTTATCATCTGAGTTAAACACATGAGAGGGTTAACATCTACAACAGGTGTTCAGCAGGACCAGGTCCTGAGTCAGTATGAAGGAACAGTCAGACTGGACTCAGATTCTGCTCTAACAGGGTCACACCAAGAATACCTGACATCAGAAGGGGTTTTATTGCCGTTGTCGATGAACAGGATTCACAGACTAGGAATTTGTTTTGGCATGATGGTGCAACAATAAACAGAGAGAAATATAAAATACTAGAATAAAAACTAATAAGAGCATGGAAGAAATATATAAAGTATAAAAATATTAAAGGTTATGTACAATGCTATGTACAAAAAGTATAAAAGGCTATGTACAACTAAACAATCTAGAACAACAGTGCAGTGGGAGGAGTGCAATTAAAAAATCCAAAGTACATCAAACTAAAGTGACCAGTGATAAAGTGACCGAGTTAAAGTGACCGAGTTATTAAGTGTTCATGTGTCTGACGGCAGAGGGGAAGAAACTGTTCTTATGGCGGGAGGTTCTGGTCCAAATGGACCGTAGCCTCCTGCCTGAGGGGAGTGTCTCAAATAGTCCGTGTGCAGGGTGAGAAGGGTCAGCTGTGATCCAATCTGCTCGGCCCCGAGTCCTGGAGACGTACAGGTCATGGAGAGATGGAAAGCTACAACTGATCACCCTCTCAGCAGAGCCCACAATGTGGTGCAGTCTGTGTCTGTCCCTAGCAGTGGCCCCGGCGTACCACACCGTGATGGAGGAGCTGAGGATGGACTCGATGATGGCCGTGTAGAACTGCACCGTCAGCTGGACTGGCAGCTTGGCTCTCCTCAGCTGCCGCAGGAAGTACATCCTCTGCTGGGCCTTCTTGATGAGGGAGCTGATGGTTGGCTCCCACTTGAGGTCCTGGGTGATGGTGGTGCTGAGGAAGCGGTAACAGTCCACAGTGGGGATAGGGGAGTCGGTGAGGTCGAGGGAGGGCAGGGGGGCTGTGGCTTTCCTGAAGTCCACGATCATCTCCACTGTCTTCCGGGTGTTGAGCTCTAGATTGTTGCTGCAGCACCAGGTCACCAGCCGGTCCACCTCCATCCTGTAGGCAGACTCATCTCCATCCGAAATAATGAGGGTGGTGTCATCCGCAAACTTGATGAGCTTTACGGCGTCATGGTTGGAGGTGCAACAGTTGGTGTACAGGGAGAAGAGCAGAGGGGAAAGTACACAGCCCTGTGGAGATCCTGTTCTGAGAGCCCGAGTGTCTGAGACATTCTTCCCCAGCCGCACACACTGACTCCTGTCCGTCAGGAAGACTGTGATCCACCTGCAGGTGGAGTCAGGCACATGGAGCAGGGAAAGCTTGTCTTGGAGCAAAGCCACAATGAAGGATGATGTTGAATGCAGAGCGGAAGTCCACGAACAGGATCCTTGCGTAGGTTCCTGGGGAGTCCAGGTGCTGCAGGATGAGGTGCAGCCAGGTTTATGGCGTCGTCTACAGACCTGTTGGCTCTGTAGGCAAACTGCAGAGGTCCAGGAGGGGGTTGGTGATGGACTTCAGGTGGAATAAAACCAGGCGTTCAAAGGTCTTCATGACTACAGACGTAAGAGCCACCGGCCTGTAGTCATTGGGTCCAGTTATGCGAGATTTCTTGGGGACAGGAACAATGATGGAGGACTTGAAACAGGCTGGAAAATGGCATGACTCCAGGGAGGTGTTGAAGATCCCCATGAAGACTGGAGCTAGCTTATCAGCGCAGTGTCTCAGAGTGGCAGGAGAGACACAGTCTGGACTCAGCCGCTTAAACAGTCTGTTTACTTCCTCTTTATGGACCGAGAGGGCAGCGGGGGGAGGTCCAGAGTGGTTGGATTTCCAGTTGTGTTGGGGGCAGTGCTTAATTTGTGCCGGAGCAAGCCGGAGCGCACTACGGGACCTCTTTGATCAGATCCGGGACCTTCCAAGTCAATAAATAAACTGTGTTTTTATCTGTTTTCTCTGTTTTATTTCTCTCTGAAGTGACACCTGTTGGCTTATTTCTTATGCACTGTACTCAGAAATTAGGTAAAACAGGGGGAAAGAGTGATTTATGTTGTCACGTGTCACAACGCAATGCGCATTGACAATGCGTGATTGACAACGCGTCAAAGTGACAGAGTGACACTCTGTTTAGGCTTTGTTTTTAAAATAAAACATTCAGTCCTAATTCAGGTTCCCCTCCATTTGAAGGGAAACTACATGGAGCGAGGACAATCGGTCATTGTTAAAAGTGTCGTTAAAAGGAAAGGTGACAGAACACAGAGGTAAACATGACCCTGTCCAACTACTTTGTCACGTGTTGCTGCCATGAAATTATGAGTTAATTATTATTTGCAAAAAAACAATAAAGTTTATGAGTTTGAACATTAAGTATCTCGTCTTTGTAGTGAATTTAGTTGAATATAGGTTAAAAAGGATTTACAAATCATTGTATTCTGTTTTTATTTACGTTTATCACCATTTCCAACCTCAATGAAATTAGGTTTTGTTTTATCCTGAGGAGATGGTTTTAGCAGTTCAAAGCAGTCAAGGCAAGTCTCAGTATCAGAACCAGAACCAGCTTTATTGGCTAAGTATGTTAATAAATGTACAAAGTAAACTAACCCTGGTAGACTGTCTCTCCATGTGCAAATATGAAACATGAAATATTACACAAATATGAACAAGCTTTTCCATTGAACTGATATTTACAGTTTTGGACTGTTTTAGTCTGTAGCACTGAGGAGAGCAGAGGAAGTGAGGGAAAAGTTTGTACGTGTCATTTTATCAGAGGTGGTTATGTTCATGAGGTTATTCTTAAATATGGTATTGACATCAAACAGTCCCTTTAGGAATTTACGATGTTGTTCGACCAATCCCTTCAAAGACCTGTGACACAAACGTTCACATTTACAAACATTTCAGTGGAAGTTCGTCTAAGTCAGTTTCCAGGTGTTTTAACAGAAGTGAGGGTTAACTGTTTGGCACTGCAGTATTGTGGTGGAACACAAATATCAGTCATCTCCTGACAGAGACTCTTCTACCCTGAAACAGGCCAGGAGGACGGCAGGAACTCAGAGACTACAGTCACCACAAGTCACCACGACAGAGGCCGTCACATCCACTAGTGTTTCTTGAAGACTTAAAAACAGGCAACTGGACTGTGTAGAGGGTGTGCCCCCCCCAAGTCGTTAACCTGAAAGGGTCGTTAACGACCCCTGTCATGTGACCACATGACTCATGTCACCTGGATCATGTGGTCCCAGGTGTAAATGTTTGTGGAGCTTCCTGGGGAGAGAGAACTGCATTGTAAGAAAAAGAGAAATTCAAGGACATCAGGCTGGACCCAGATGAAACCATGGTTTCCTATGATGTCACATGACTTTTCACGAGTATTCCGACAACAGAGGCAGTCCAAGCAGTAAGACAACGCCTCTCACAGGACAGCACACTGGAAGTCAGAACCAACTTAACCCCTGACCACATCTGCTCCTTATTGGACATCTGCCTCAGCACCACCTATTTCCAGTTCAGAGCGCGCCATTACAGACAGAAACACGGATGCGCGATGGGCTCCCCGGTTTCTCCAATAGTGGCCAACCTGTACATAGAAGAGGTAGAGAGGAAGGCCCTAACCTCCTTCAAAGGAGCCGCTCCTAGCCACTGATTCAGATATGTGGATGACACCTGGGTTAAGATCAAAACACATGAAGTAGAGGCCTTCACTGACCATATCAACACAGTGGACAGCAACATCAAGTTCACCCGTGAAGATGTCAAGGACAAAGTGTTGGCCTTTTTGGACTGTGCTGTACACTTGGAGGCAGATGGGTGTCTCAACGTTGAAGTGTACAGGAAACCAACACACACGGATCAATATCTACTTTTTGATTCCCACCATCCTCTGCAGCACAAACTGGGTGTCATCAGAACACTCAACCACCGGGCTGAGAACATTCCCACAAAGGAAGAAGGTAAGGAAAAGGAACAAAAGCACATCAAAAATGCCCTGACAACCTGTGGATACCCTAAGTGGGCCTTTGTGAAGAACAGAAAGAGAAATAACACTGAACAGGAAAGGGAGGAGAGACGCAAGAGCACTGTAATCCAGTGGCGGCTGCTGGTCTTTCAAGGAGGGGAAGCTCATTTTTTCTGGCCTACATCATAATTGTATTTGTTTATTAGTATGTAACAGAACAGAGTCGCCAAACACAACGGCAGTCGTTTTTAACAAAGACAAAAGTCGCTGAGGATCGGTAAAGTCTCTGGAGCAGTTAAGAACAACGGAATGAATATTTTGGAAAATGCTCTGGTAGATGTTTTATTCTTCAAGATCGCTGATTCGCTTGTTTAGCTGTCAATCAAAAAAGGATTTCGCCTCAGACAGCTCATCCAATCATGGATGCAGAAGCTTGGAGTCCGGGAGAAAGTCGGGACCGCCCTCTCGCCATAGAACTCCAGTGAAGCTGGGCTTCCGATGGGCGGGACAAAGCCCAGCATTTATCCAATGAGCGTCTAGTTTCGCTGCTGGAACAACCCACTTTTAGCTTCCACATTGAAGTCAGCAGAAGCCCAGCGTCCGACTGTTTGAAGCGCTGAGGCGCTGCGAGGATGAATGAGAACGAAGTTATGCCGGTTACCTGTGATTATCAGCTTCTTATCACAGTGTCTGAACAAAAGATGAAGGCTTTCTAGTGCGTATTTAGTTAATGAAATGTACACACAGCCGTACGTTTTTCACCACTTTTTCTTTTTTTGGGGGGGTGACATTTTAAGGGAAGCCGAGCTTCCCTTGCAGTCTTAGAGCAATCGCCACTGCTGTAATCCCTTACGTTGCAGGCCTGTCGGAAAAACTCAAGAGGATCTTTAGCAAACACCACATTCCTGTTCATTTCAAGCCTGGTAACACACTAAGGCAGAGGCTAGTCCATCCCAAGGACAAAACACCGAGACATAAACAGAGTAATGTGGTGTATGCCGTCCAGTGCAGCGAGGAATGCTCGGACCTGTACATTGGGGAAACTAAACAACCGCTTCACAAGCGCATGGCTCAACACAGGAGAGCCACTTCCTCAGGTCAGGACTCAGCTGTCCACCTTCACTTGAAGGATACAGGTCACTCTTTCGAGGACAGCAATGTACAGGTGTTGGCTGGAGAAGACAGATGGTTTGAAAGAGGAGTTAAAGAAGCCATCTTTACCAGGCTGGAGAAACCTTCTCTGAATGCAGTTCTCAGCTCTCTCCCCAGGAAGCTCCACAAACATTTACACCTGAGACCACATGACCCATGGACCCATGGGTTTCTACGAGCCATTCTTTCCAACTCCTCCCAGTCGTTGTCTGTCCCCTTCTACAGTAAGATAAATATCTGCTCCTGACACTAGCAATTTTAGAACTGAAGAAGCTTCTTGGATAAGAGGCGAAACGTCTTCTCAACTCTACAAAGTCCAGTTGCCTGTTTTTAAGTCTTCAAGATAACCATGACCTGGATGAATGAGAATCTACATGGACATCCACAATAGCCTGGCTGGGCCATCTGCAGTTGACTCTGCAAAGTCGGCAGAAATCGTTTAGATCCGCAGAAGATGTCGGATATAAACGATAACTGCCGACTTTGCAGAGTCAACTGCAGAATTAACGATGTTCTGAATGAACAGGGCTGCGAAAAGTCCCGCAGCATGTGTTAGACGTCACCACTACACATGGACCAATCAGGGGCTGCCTTTCCCTGTTGTCCGGGTAACAGTGGAAACAGGGTCTCTGATTGGCCCGGTTATTTTCTGATCGGGAATACACGCTCTCTATGGGCCGAAGTCCAGACTGTGGTGGGAAGGAACGTCAAGTGACTCGCACAACAGGATGGCCCAGCCAGGCTACATCCACAAGTGTTGTGACTTCTGAATTGAATGCTGTAAAGACATTCTTGTCTTTGTGCATTTACGTGCTGCTTTGTTTTTGTTAGTAAGACAAATTTCTTTACACATCACATTACACTGCAGAACTGCTGCAGGTATGGCCTGTAACACAACAGACACACAATACTGGTCCAGCTGCTGGCTCTAGGTCTACCATAACACCTTTGGTCGCTACAAATTACAGACTGGGTATAAAAAAACCTCCCATTTATAAATGCAGCATGTGAACACCCTGAGCCCACACTTCACTTTCACACTGGAGGCTAAATGAGGCTGAGAGTTTGATAAACTAATGATGAACTTTTGAATCTCATGATGTTGACTGTTTGTTCGCTCGGGTTCATGATGAGGGTCTGAGGATGATGTCTGACCAGTGACAACAATCAGGTTGTAAGGTAACAGTACTCACGTTGCCATGGTTACTTGATCGCAGGAGCAGGAGGATGAGGCGGCTAATCTGTGGAAGAAAAAAGAAGTGAAAGGCTTGAACCTTTAGTTGATGTTGTGTTTCTTTAACATGAGCAGTTCTGATTGAAAACAGTCTTCTCTCTGAAATCAGCAGAGTCAGAAACACTCCTCTTCAGCAGGTGGTCCCTTTTATAAACTCTTTTTTCATGAAAACCAGGAGCTGGGATCTTCTAAATCCCTGTTTTTCTCCTGGTCTCTCAGACTTCTGGTCCTGTTCTAGCAGTGAAACATCTCCCTATGAAGAGTTTTGTTCTGATGGGAATAAAAAGAAGGACTCTTTAAAAACCTCTTCTCCTCAAACTTTTAAAGCTCTTCAGGTTCAGATTTTTCAGTGTATTTATTTTCAATCACATTTGAGCTTTTAGGGATGTTAACGTCCATCATGTTCAGTAATCTCATCTGTTTTTCTTTCATGATCATTTAACCCACAAACTCTGAGAGTGTTTGAGTTCAGCTTCCTGTCTGATGAGGAACATATTTCAGCTCAGCCTGAACCTGATCCAGCAGCACAAATATTCCAGCTTTAGCTCCACTTTGTTTTCAGACATCAACATTCAAATGATCGTTTCTGAAGGATTGTGTTTCTTTTGTTTAAAGTCACACCTTAAAGAACAAAACTATTTTAAGCCCCGCCCCCTTTAGAGGATAAACAAGCTGAAAAGTAAAGACAACACAGAGGACCAGGTTACGGTGGCCCTGAGGGACAACTGAGAAATATTTGATGACTGTAAAGAAAACATTTTAATATTTTCTGAACATGCAGAAAAAATCCTGAAGTCACTGAAAAATCTTTTGATGTGCTGAAAAAAATATTTTGTACAAAACAACAAACTGAAGAAATGCAGTAAAAAAAACAGTGTCTGAAGTTCGTTTCTGTCAGCACATAAAAAATATGTAACAACTTAACTTAACATTAATTTAATATAAATTTATGTTTAATATAAACGACATCACACCTGTAAATACGATGCCAAAATAAAAGCTCTCCATTGTCTTAAATACACTTAATTCAACAATACAACATGAGTTCAGATTTGTCTGAACGTCTCTCTCATCTTTGTTTAGTCTTCAGTGAAGTAAGTTTGATGTTAGTAATTAAAGCTGCTGTCTCCTCCTGATCTCAACAGCTTCAGAGTTTCTTAATTCAAAGTCTTCTTACCTGATGTTCAGCTCTCAGCGTGTGGAAGCTCTCAGTGTGTGGAAGCTCTCAGAATCAGAGGAGGCAGAGTTTATATCAGGAGAGAGTCTGAGGTCACATGATTTCACAGAAACCGACTCAGAGACAGAATTCCTGGTCTTATCTGAGAGAACAGAAAATTATCTCCTCACTTTACTTTCTGTTTCACCCATGGTTTTTAAATAACAACATTTATCAGACATTGACAGGACCTCAGAGCCCTGAAGTTTCTCTAAAGAGACACAAAAGTGTTTGAATCAGGATACAACAAATAAAAGTTCATGACAGGAACACACACACAAATATAATACCAGAGGACCTGAGCTCAGCATCCTTTCTCCTTTCACCATCTGTTGGGAAAAGGGTGGTTTTCCTACCACCTTCAGACTCACTCTGACATCCAGGTTCCCTTAAAACCTTTATAGTGGAGGATCCACCTATCTAGACAGTCTCCTGTACTTGATGTTGTCTTTGTGTGCAGACTGGTTCATGTTTCTTCTTCACCTCTCACATAGACGGGTCCAACTGTTTACCTGATAAGGAGTTCTCTTATTCTTTCTACATTCATATCTAACACACAAACATTCAGTCAGACAGTTTTACTGTTGCTGAGCAGGTAGTCAAAGTAAGCTTAAAAAAACAAGTATCATAGATAAAAATAACTAACACTCTACAAAGTTTCAACCACACCCTCTGAACATTCCTTTCTCATACTTTCTTAACTTCCTTCTTTGAAAAACAGCACACGAACATCTTTAGTCAGTACAAGACTATGGTCCGGTGGCAGAGAACCGCCACTGCTGCAAATATAGAAGAATGAAAAAAAAAAAGAAGTCACAACAGAAGTTACCAATGCAAAAAACAAAGAAGCCCGCTGCAATCAAAAAAAGAAATGATGCAGATTTCAAAAAAAGCCACAACAGAAGTTAAGCAATGCAAAAAAAAGTAGTGATGGAAAAAATAAGTTACTGAAGCTAACTCTACACCAGCGTCCTCCAGTTCAACTTCATATGGACTCAGGCGCTACATGGTCTAACCATGACACTGTAACGAGATCGTAAAACACCGCTGCATCATCAGAAGTGGTCCCAGCAGCTCACTTCTGTAGTGAGTTTTTTTTTTTTTTTCATCCTTTTATTTTCACAGTAAGAACCTTTTTTTTCCATCGCCACATTTTTTGCATCGTTAACTCCCATTGCGGCTTTTTTTTTTTTGCATTCTTTTTTATTTGCAGAATTGGCAGTTCTCGGCCACCGTACATTTTTGTCTTTCTTCTTTGCATTGATTATCAGTTTGTAACAAACTTGTCCAGGTCACCTTTGTAAATGAGATCCTGATCTTGATGAGACTGATCTGGTTAAATAAACGTTAAATAAGATAAGTTTATTAAACATGAATATATATATATATATATATTAATGTTTTTGATATGTTGTGAATAAAAATTGGGGGGGAAAAAGGTTAAAAAAAAAGTAACATTTAGTCCTATTTTGAAAAGCTCGGGCGGAAGTAGTGCGCCGTATTGACACTGTCCTCCCGTCCTGTCGGAGTTTGATCAGCTGCTCCTCGCGCTCTGAAACTTCACACCGACTCTTTACGAAGATGGCCGGACGGGACCGAGTGGTTCACCTGCTCAGACAGCTGGAGCGCGCGGCGTAAGTTCGATAAAAGTTCGATAATCGATCATTAAAGAAAGAGTTTCAGATAGAGGTGAGCTCGTGCAGCACGGAGCGGTGACGTTTAAAGAGCAGGACCGCCCACCATGTTGTTTTTCTGTCTGAAGGGGAGAGGAGTCCGACCAAACCCCGTTTAAAAATCTGAGGGTTAAGGAAATCTGTGTTCTAATGAGGGTTAGCCTCAGTCCAGAGATCCGGTTTAAACTTTAATTATATCAGTATGAAGAGTCTGGACCATCGGCCTCATGATGGACCATGAAGAGGACTAATAAACCCTTTAGAAACCGGGTCAAAGAGTTTGCTGTGTGGACCTGGGAGACCACCACGCAGACCCTGTTCTGTAATCAGGAGACCCCGAGGACTGTCTCAGACCCAGTTACAGTTTTTCCTCTAATATAGACTAACACTCCAAAAAACTGAGTAGACCACCAAGAAACAAAGATCCAGACTTTGGTCTGTCAGGGTCCAGACGGGACCAGGTCAAAAACTGGGTCCAGTGAGACCAACGAGACCATCTCATGAAAAAACAGCAGAGATTCAGTTCAGGAGGGGGTCAGGGTTAGACCTTCGGGGTCAGGGTTAGACCTCTGGAGAATTAAACTGTAATTCAGTCAAAACCTGAAGGACTTTATTTTGAAACTTTCAGGACTTTATTTTGAAACTTTTAGGACTTTATTTTGAAACTTTTAGGACTTTATTTTGAAACTTTCAGGACTTTATTTTGAAACTTTTAGGACTTTATTTTGAAACTTTTAGGACTTTATTTTGAAACTTTCAGGACTTTATTTTGAAACTTTTAGGACTTTTTTTGAAACTTTCAGGACTTTATTTTGAAACTTTTCGGACTTCACTTTTATAACTTGAATCTTGTTAATCTATAACTTCAGTCTCTGATTCCAGAACTTGTTTTTGTTTCTTTATTAGTGACTCTTTTTTGTTGTTGTACTTATTTCTATAATTCTCTCTTTATTATTGATTAATTATTGATTGTTTATTGATTTATTTTCCTCAGTTCTTCTCTGACTCCCTCCTGTCTCACACACACACACACACACACACACACACACTCACACTCACACACAGTGACTCTGATCAGCTGTTTTTCTCCTGTTTCTTGTTTTTTACCTGCAGGTGCAGGAGCGTCTACCTGCACCGTGAGGAAGACAGACTACGCCTTTGAGGTGACGGCGGACACTGACCCCTGACCTCTGACCCCAATAAAGAGCACTGATTTAAATCTGATCTGAGGTCTGATCACAGCAGGACCATCTCTGAGGAGGTCTCATGGTCTGACCTGCTGCACAGTTTCAGGTTCAGGAGATTAGATCAATAAATTCAGATTTTAAAAAACGTCCTGATGTGGGCGGAGTCTCAGGTGAGTTTCTCTTCAGACGTCTGCCGCTGTCACAGCCTGAGAAGATTTCACCGTAGGATATCTGAGATGAAGATATTGATCCTCAGATCTGACAGCCTCCTTCATCACAGAGGAGAGTGACCCGTTCTTGATGTGGGTCGGTACAGTAATTCTGGTACCAGTGAGCGTAAAGACGATGAACACACCTGTCCAAATTTAAATTTTTAACACCCTATACTATAGTATAGGGTGTTAAAAATTGAAATTTAGATTAAAATTAAAATTTTTGGTGTATATATATATATATATATATATATACATATATGTATACGTCTTAATGATATGATAAAACTGTCATAGTATATGGTGTTGAAAATTTCATAATTCAGTGCAAAAATGTTTTTTATTATTTTAGTTTGAAATAAATGTCATGGAATAGCCTGATAAAAAATGTCATTGTAAAGTTAATACAAAAATGCTTTAATATGGTATGATAAAAAAATGCCATAGTATTGTACGATGGAAATGTCATAGGAGGGTATCTTGAAAATTGTCATAGTGTAGTATAATAAAAATATCAAAGTATTGTATGATGAAAATCTCATAGTATAGTATGTCAAAAAACATCATAATATAGTATTATTAACTGTCAGAGTATAGTATGATAAAAATGTCGTAGTATAATATGAGAAAATGTCAAAGTATAGTATGTTACAAAATCACTGTAAAGTATAAAAAAATAAAGTACAATAAATTTTCATATTATAAAATGATGAAAATGAAGTATGAAAAAAATATATTGTAGTACGAAAAAAGTCTCAGCATAGATTGATTAATATATCAAAGTGAAGTATAATAAAATGATATAGTATGACAAAAATATGAAAGTATTGCATGATAAAAAATTGTCATAGTACAGTAGTCATTGTAAAGTATGATAAAAATATCATAGTATAGGTCCGTGTAGATTCTCATTCATCCAGGTCATGGTTTCCTTGAAGACTCCAAAATCAGGTACCTGGACTGTGTAGAGCTGAGAAGACGTTTCTCCTCTTATCCAAGAAGCTTCTTCAGTTCTAAATATTGATAGAGTGAGGAGCAGATATTAATCTTACTGGAGAAAGGGGACAGACAACGACTGGGAGGAGTTGGAAAGAATGGGTCGTAGAAACCCATCTCTGGGTGTTCCCCCCTCGTTAATCTGAAAGGATCGTTAACAACTCCTGTCATGTGACCACATGACTCATGCCATGACCATAGACTGTATATAGAATATATATGGGCTGTGTCCCATTTCAGAGACTGCACCGTTGAACGGCACATAACGGCGCATTTGAAGTGTGCATGATGTCCCATTTGGCACGAAATGCTAAGCGCGCTTAGCATTTTTTTTTCAAGCGTGCATTTATGCACGCTTTCGTGCCGTTGGTATCCCAGAGTTCTTTGCGTGCCGCTGCACATTTCAGGTGAGAGGCTGGACTCACTTGGAGACACAGCGCGTCTTCAAAGAAAATACAAGAAATCCAAAAACAGTAGACAGTCAGCTCAGGCTGTATGAGAGCATGATCTCTGAACTCACTAAAATCTGTAAACCAAACATTATAGATTTAGAGACGAACTGATCCGCTCTGCTACAACTATCAAAAACATTAGAAATGAGAAAGCTTGAAATAAAAAAATGTTAATCATAAAAAGAAATGAGAAAGCTGACAAAACTACAGCAGAGTATAAGGACAACATTGAGTTTTTTTTCTTTTAAGATATAGAGATTAAAGTTGTAAATTTAGGAGAATAAACTCAAAGTATATAAAGTCATAAAGCTGCTTTTGTGGAGGGGGAAATGACTGAAGCTGGTCATCTGCAGGGTTATCTGTGGATGTATCAGCGGGTCATTCAGAGAGATTTTGTGGTTTCTGAAGAAACAATCAAACTGATGATGATCAACATTTGTGATCCAGAGGGAGTCGAGCTCCGACGAGCACCACGTCTCTGACACCGGCCGTAGCCTACACCTGCAGAGACACCAACACCTTATTACTGCATATGGATTCATATCATAAACTAAAGCTCAATGTCATTCACGGATATTTACAGCTGCATTGACAGATATATCCTCAGCATAATCATTTCTGCCTCCACAAAAGCAGCGATTTCCTTCAAGTACACCAGTTTTTTCCCCCGTGGAAAAGACGTATTTCTCATATATTCTTTTTTTAAGTCTTTATACTTATGACAATGTTATGCTGATGTGCCAGAGGATGAAGTATCTCCTTGTTTGTGAAACAACTCCCTTCCCCCAGCCTATGGCTCCTATGGTGAAGCTAGTCACTAACAGTGGCGTTTTCTTTCATGTTTGGCAAACTTTCCCATTGTTAGTTCATGTAAATTTTGCTTTCCCCCAGCCTGTGGCCTCTACTGTGAAGCTAACTACAAGTAGTGGATGGTCTAATTGAAAAAAAAAAAAAAAAGTTTGTTTGTACAATATACTTGTATTTCTATAGATATTATCATTATTATTATTATTATTATTATTATTATTATTATTGCTATTTTCATGGTCATCACCATCATTATTATTGATAGTGATATTAATGATATTGTTTAACAGTCACTTCTGGTGACAGCCTCTGCTGGTGCAGGCAGGGTACGCGCTTCCTCCCCACAGCAAGTTGTTTGCACCCCAACCACACGTCAGCCTCTGCTGGTGCAGGCAGCGTACGCGCTCTCTCCCCCCAGGGTACAGCTAAGTACAGGTTCACAACCACGAACGGTGGCGTGCACGCTCTGTCCTCGTGGTGACCAGTGATGGAGGGCTCACACTGTTGTTCCTCCTGCAAGGCCTCTCTCCAGCCAGACGATGGCCACGACCTGTGTCCCAGGTGTCTTGGTCCTGAGCATCTGAGGGAAGCGCTGGACAATTGCCATAGCTGCATGAACTGCAGCTATATGCCTCTGGCTGTGAGGGCTGCCAGGCTGGCTGAGATAGGGCAGCCACAGGGTGGAGATACTGTTCCTCCGTCAGGCCAGCCCCCTCCACCCCGAACCAGGCAGTCAAGGCGTCGGGCTGATGCAGCCACCACTAGTGCCGCCCCCCCTCCCAGAAAGAAACCTTGGTCTGATTGGGGGTTGACATCCAAGGTTAATGAGCTATCTGCTGAGTTGGCCCAGATGAGGTCTATGCTAATGGCCCGCCAGCCTGACTCCCCTTCAGATGAGGCAGGGGTACCTGACCCTCCAATGCCCCATCTCACGCTGGAGGAGGATACACTCTCCCTGGCAGCCTCAGCCACTCATTTTCATGAGTATGGGGAAGACGCAGAAGGCAGTGCATCCCAGGGTTCCGATCCAGGTTCCTACGCTTCTGGCCAGAGCTCCCGGACAGAGACGGGAGATCACTCTATGCGCACAGTTATGCGCATGGCCTTGGAGCGCCAAAACTTGGATGTCCCACAGGTGGAAAACTCTGCACCCGCAAGTGCTTTCTTCAGGTGCAGACCACCACCCACTGCCTTTGCTGTATCACACTCACCGGACTTCCTGAGGGAACTACAGGCTAGTTGGATGGACACTAGGGCCAGCTCCCGTATGTCTGCTGATGCTCGAACTCTGGCAGCCATGCATAATGCGGCAGCAGTGGGCCTGGATCATATGCCAGCTGTTGAGCCAGCCATCGCATCCCTCATCATCTCCCCTGACGAGGCTCTGCGCCGGGAGACCAGGTGCCCCCAGCCCCAATGCAGGATAACAGATGACCTGCTTGTTAGCGCTGGCCGCATTGGGAACTCCATCTCACACCTTATGCTGGCTCTCTCAGCCTCCCTGCAAGAAGGCGACGTGGGTACAGGGAATGTGAATGGTGATACCATCACTATGTGTGACGCAGCACTTGAGGCATTTGGCCACATGACCTGAGAGCTTGGGCGGATGATGTCCACTGTTGTCCAGGCTCGACACCAAGTCTGGCTGTCACAGTCAAATCTGACTGAGGCCTCAAGGAGGACCCCAAGGAGCCTTCCGGTGGAGCCAGGAACAGTGTTTGGCTCAGCTACTCAGGAAGTGCTTGAGAGGACTATTCAGGCGGGGCAGACAAGGCAACAGCTTGCAAGTCTCCGTCGCATGCCTCCCCCTAGCAGGCCCCCCTCTGTCAGAGGTAGGGCCACGGCTGCCCCCAGGGCTTGCCCTCCACCACCACCTCACACTGTGGGCCAACGATGCCCTCAGCGACCTACGCAGGCACAGAACCGCGACTCACGGGCCTCCGCCCCATTTCCCTCCTGGCAGTTTCGGGCTTGGGACCCTGGACGACCCCTCACCAGGGCTCCTAGGGGTCAGGGGGCCAGGTGCTGAAGCTACAGGGCCGGCCGTTGGAACGTTTTCACACCAGCAGCTCAGGTACTGGGCTGCACGAGCTTCAGACCCATGGGTGGTTACCACCTTAACTCATGGGTACAATCTCCAGTTCTGACGCCGGCCCCCCACAGCCAGCCGGGTCAAAATGACAGTTATCGGCAACCCCGCAAAAGCCCTTGTGTTAGAGCGGGAGCTCTCCGTCCTCCTGACCAAGGGTGCTATCAAATCAGTGGATCACCTGTCACATCCCAGGGGGTTCTACTCAACTTATTTCCTTGTCGAGAAAAAAACTGGCGGACATCGTCCCATCCTGGACCTCAGGGGACTCAACTGGTTCCTCAAGGTCATGCCCTTCCACATGCTGACCACGGCAGAGGTGTTGCAGACTGTTGCCTGCGGGGAGTGGTTCACATCTGTGGACCTGGAAGATGCATATTTCCATGTCCCCATCGCCCCGGAACACAGGTCCTTCCTTCGGTTTGCCTATCAAGGCCACCACTGGCAGTTCTGCATGCTACCGTTTGGCCTCTCTCTGTCTCCAAGGGTTTTCTCCAGGTGCGTTAGCGCCACTACAATCACAGGGCATGAAGATACTCCCTTATCTAGACAATTGGCTGGTGTGCGCGCAATCCTGGGCACAGGCTGCAGAGGGGACAGCCCGCCTCCTGGCCCACGTGGCCCAACTGGGACTCGAGGTGAATGTCGAAAAGAGCTGCCTTGTACCATCACAAACAACAACATTCATTGGTCTGGCCTTGAACACCATAACAATGAAAGCCTGTCCGTCCCCCTGCCGGGTGGACGATATTCTCGATCTTCTGCTCCTTTTCCGGGGAGGCAGGCGACTGCCACTCCTCACATTCCTCCGTCTCCTGGGCAAATTGACTTCTGTTGCAGCGGTGGTCCCGCTGGGTTTGTTGTCGCTGCGGCCCCTGCAGAGGTGGCTCAACAGCTTCCACCTGGACGCCAAGTGGCATGGGCGGAGGAGGATCGTTGTGTCGTGCCAGTGTCTTCTGGCCCTAGCTCAGTGGAGGGACAGGGCCTATATCTCAGGGAGTGTCCCCATGGGGTCTATCCCATCCTGCAGGGAGATCGTTTCCACCGACGCCTGCCTGTCAGGCCGGGGCGCGGTGTGACAGGGCAGGACAGCTCGCAAGAAGTTGGTGCAGAGCACATCAATGTGCTGGAGCTGCGAGCGGTGCACTTGGCCCTTCAGCATTTTCTGCCATACCTGAAAGGCAAGCATGTCCTTGTCAGATCAGACAACACCTCACCAGTGTATCCCATCAACCACCAGGGCGGGACCAAATCTGCACGGCTGCTGCAGGTATCCAAGGACCTCCTGACATGGGCAGCCCCCCGCCTGACCAGCCTACGGGCAATGTATTTACCAGGAGATCAAAATCAACCTGCCGACTTTCTCTCCCGTCAGAAGCCTCCTTCGGGGGAGTGGCGCCTCCATCCAGAGGTGGTGCATGCAATCTGTGGCCGCTACGGCAGGGCAGAGCTAGACCTCTTCACTTTGGAAGCATCAACTCACTGCCCTCTCTGGTTTTCCCTAGCAGAGACAACCAGCCCTCTGGGCTAGGATGCACTGGCTCACCCAGGCTAGAGGCACTTCTTTACACCTTTCCGCCCCTCCCTCTGATACGGCCACTTCTACAGAGGGTTCTTCAGGGGGGTAACACCATACTGCTGGTGGCCCCTTTCTGGCCCGGGAACACTTGGTTTCCCCTGCTGCACAAACTCTGCCGCGGGGCACCATGGTGTCTTCCAGACAGGAATGACACATAATGACACTTAATGACACATTAAAAAGTTTACGAAGTGAAATTAAACAATAACCTTTCCATTTACTTCTTTTCTCATTGTCTTCTTTGTCTAGATCGTAAAGCACCGGTGCATCATCATTATTGGTCCCCAGCAGCTCACTTCTGTTGTGGCTTTTTTTTTTTTTGCATTCTTCTATATTTGCAGCAGTGGCGGTTCTCTGCCACCGTACCGTAGTCTTGTACTGACTAAAGATGTTTGTGTGCTGTTCTTTAAAGAAGGAAGTTAAGAAAGTATGAGAAAGGAATGTTCAGAGGGTGTGGTTGAAACTTAGTAGGTGTTAGTTATTTTTATCTATGATACTTGTTTTTTGAAGCTTACTTGGACTACCTGCTCAGCAACAGTAAAACTGTCTGACTGAATGTGTGTGTGTTAGATATGAATGTAGAAAGAATAAGAGAACTCCTTATCAGGTAAACAGTTGGACCCGTCTATGTGAGAGGTGAAGAAGAAACATGAACCAGTCTGCACACAAAGACAACATCAAGTACAGGAGACTGTCTAGATAGGTGGATCCTCCACTATAAAGGGTTTAAGGGAACCTGGACGTCAGAGTGAGTCTGAAGGTGGTAGGAAAACCACCCTTTACCAACAGATGGAGAAAGGAGAAAGGATGCTGAGCTCAGGTCCTCTGGTATTATATTTGTGTGTGTGTTCCTCTCATGAACTTTTATTTGTTGTATCCTGATTCAAACACTTTTGTGTCTCTTTAGAGAAACTTCAGGGCTCTGAGGTCCTGTCAATGTCTGATAAATGTTGTTATTTAAAAACCATGGGTGAAACAGAAAGTAAAGTGAGGAGATAATTTTCTGTTCTCTCAGATAAGACCAGGAATTCTGTCTCTGAGTCCGTTTCTGTGAAATCATGTGACCTCAGACTCTCTCCTGATATAAACTCTGCCTCCTCTGATTCTGAGAGCTTCCACTCACTGAGAGCTTCCACTCACTGAGAGCTGAACATCAGGTAAGAAGACTTTGAATTATGAAACTCTGAAGCTGTTGAGATCAGGAGGAGACAGCAGCTTTAATTACTAACATCAAACTTACTTCACTGAAGACTAAACTTGATAGGAGGTCTTCAGTTTGATTTGATAAAAGACTCTCTGAACCATCCTGAGCACACTGGTGGTCTTCAAACTCTGTAAAGCTGAGAGTCCCAGAGTGAGTGCTCAGTTATATACAGCTGCATCACAATAAATTTGAATATTGTAGAAAAGTTCATTAATTTCAACAGTTCAATTCAGATGGTGAAACTAGTGACCTGATTAAGACTAATGAGACGCAGGCTGAAATATTCCACTTAACTGTACGGCTCAGGAAACCTTTGCAGGTGTTTGGAGTTCATGAGCTGATGAGAGTGTGAAATTATTAGATTAAAATAATGAACTTTTTCACAATATTCTAATTTTTTTGAGATACTGAACTTGGTGTTTTTATTTGATATAAGCCTCAATCATTACAGTCAAAGGACAGAAAAGCTGTGGATCTATATCAGGTTATTAGTTTCACTTTTTGAATTAAACTACTGAAATAAACAAACTTCCACGATATTTAAATTTATTGAGATGCACCTGTAAATATGTGGAGCTCTGGTTCACTTTCACAGAAGACTGATCAACAGATGGGACACACATGGCAGCAATAGTACAAAGAGATATCTGAAATGACAGATGTTGAAACTTCCTCACTGATGGAGAATTAAATCACTAAAACTGCTTTAACTTGATCGTCTCCTGAGGGAAATTTGCTTTACAGGCAGATGAAACATAAAAGATGAGAGAGACGTTCAGACAAATCTGAACTCATGTTGTATTGTTGAATTAAGTGTATTTAAGACAATGGAGAGGTTTTATTTTAGCATCGTATTTACAGGTGTGATGTCATTTATATTAAACATAAATTTATACTGAATTGATGTTAAACTGGGTGGTTTTCTGTTGCAGAGTGATGCAGTTTTCTCTGGTTTTTAAAAATGCCTACAGTCTGATTTATGGTGCAGTAATCCAGGGAAAATTTCTCAAAGAAAGACGAGATCAACATTTTTATTAGAATGACATGACTAGAGGAAGGTAGATATGTATTTATACAGGACTATGGTACGGTGGCCCTGAAGGACAACTGGGAATCGTTTAATGACTGGAAAGAAAAAATCTTTAAAAATTAAGTTGTTACATATTTTTTTATGTGCTGACAGAAACGAACTTCAGACACTGTTTTTTTACTGCATTTCTTCAGTTTGTTGTTTTGTACAAAATATTTTTTTTCAGCACATCAAAAGATTTTTCAGTGACTTCAGGATTTTTTCTGCATGTTCAGAAAATATTAAAATGTTTTCTTTACAGTCATCAAATATTTCTCAGTTGTCCCTCAGGGCCACCGTAACCTGGTCCTCTGTGTTGTCTTTACTTTTCAGCTTGTTTATCCTCTAAAGGGGGCGGGGCTTAAAACAGTTTTGTTCTTTAAGGTGTGACTTTAAACTTAAAAAAACACAATCCTTCAGAAACGATCATTTGAATGTTGATGTCTGAAAACAAAGTGGAGCTAAAGATGGAATATTTGTGCTGCTGGATCAGGTTCAGGCTGAGCTGAAATATGTTCCTCATCAGACAGGAAGCTGAACTCAAACACTCTCAGAGTTTGTGGGTTAAATGATCATGAAAGAAAAACAGACGAGATTACTGAACAGCTTTAAAAGTTTGAGTTTGAGGAGAAGAGGTTTTTAAAGAGTCCTTCTTTTTATTCCCATCAGAACAAAACTCTTCATAGGGAGGTGTTTCACTGCTAGAACAGGTCCAGAAGTTTGAGAGACCAGGAGAAAAACAGGGATTTAGAAGATCCCAGCTCCTGGTTTTCATGAAAAAAGAGTTTATAAAGGGACCACCTGCTGAAGAGGAGTGTTTCTGACTCTGCTGATTTCAGAGAGAAGACTGTTTTCAATCAGAACTGCTCATGTTAAAGCAACACAACATCAACTAAAGGTTGAAGCCTTTCACTTCTTTTTTCTTCCACAGATTAGCCGCCTCGTCCTCCTGCTCCTGAGATCAAGTAACCATGGCAACGTGAGTACTGTTACCTTACAACCTGATTGTTGTCACTGGTCAGACATCATCCTCAGACCCTCATCGTGAACCCGTGTGAACAAACAGTCAACATCATGAGATTCAAAAGGTTATCATTAGTTTATCAAACTCTCAGCCTCATTTAGCCTCCAGTGTGAAAGTGAAGTGTGGACTCAGGGTGTTCACATGCTGCATTTATTAATGGGAGGTTTTTTTATAAAGAAGTTTGTCTCACTAACAAAAACAAAGCTTCTGCTGCTCAGAGTTTTTGGTGTCTGATGTATTTCAGCTCCTCATTGTCTTCAGAAGACAAAGCCGGGGGAATTAAACAGTTTACAAGTGTCTGAATCACACGTGTGAGATCACTTTAAAAGCTGCTCTCTCTGCATCACATCATCCCTCTCTCTCTCTACCTCTCTCTGTGCACACTGACGTAAATGCACAAAGACAAGAATACCTTTACAGCAGTCATTTCAGAAGTCACAGCACTTGTGGATGTGACGGCCTCTGTCGTGGTGACTTGTGGTGACTGTCGTCTCTGAGTTCCTGCCGTCCTCCTGGCCTGTTTCAGGGTAGAAGAGTCTCTGTCAGGAGATGACTGATATTTGTGTTCCACCACAACACTGCAGTGCCAAACAGTTAACCCTCACTTCTGTTAAAACACCTGGAAACTGACTTAGACGAACTTCCACTGAAATGTTTGTAAATGTGAACGTTTGTGTCACAGGTCTTTGAAGGGATTGGTCGAACAACATCGTGAATTCCTAAAGGGACTGTTTGATGTCAATACCATGTTTAAGAATAACCTCATGAACATAACCACCTCTAATAAAATGACATGTACAAACTTTTCCCTCACTTCCTCTGCTCTCCTCAGTGCTACAGACTAAAACAGTAAATATCAGTTTGTTGTTCATATTTCTGTAATATTTCATGTTTCATATTTGCACATGGAGAGAAAGTCTACCAGGGTTAGTTTACTTTATACATTTATTAACATACTTAGCCAATAAAGCTGGTTCTGGTTCTGGTTCTGATTCTGAGACTTGCCTTGACTGCTTTGAACTGCTAAAACCGTCTCCTCAGGATAAAACAAAACCAGATTCTATTGAAGTTGGAAATTGTAATAAACGTAAATAAAAACAGAATACAATGATTTTCAAATCCTTTTTAACCTAAATTCAACTAAATACACTACAAAGATATTTAATCTTCAAACTCATAAACTTTATTTATTTATTTATTGTAAATAATAATGAACTCAGAATTTCATGGCAGCAACACGCTCCAAAGTAGTCGGACAGGGTCATGTTTACCTCTGTGTTCCATCACCTTTTAACAAACTCAGTAAACGTTTGTGAACTGAGGAGACGAACTGTTGGAGCTGAAGGTGGAATTCTTTCCCATTCTTGATGTTCAGCTTCAGTTCTTCAACAGTCCGGGGTCTCCGTTGTCGTATTTTACGCTTCATAATCCTCCACACATTTTCAGTTGGAGACAGGTCTGGACTGCAGGCAGGTCAGTCGAGTACCCGCACTCTTTTACTACGAAGCCACGCTGTTGGAACACGTGCAGAATGTGGCGTGGCGTTGTCTCACTGAAATAAGCAGGAAGGGCGTCCATGAAAAAGACGTTTGCTTGGATGGCAGCATCTGTTGCTCCCAAACCTGTTTGTACCTTTAAGCATTAATGTTGCCTTCACAGATGTGTGAGTTACCCATGCCTCGGGCACTAATGCACCCCCATACCATCACAGATGCTTGTGAACTCTGCGTGGATAACAGTCCGGATGGTTCTTTTCCTCTTTGGCCCGGAGGACATGACGTCCACTATTTCCAAAAACAATCTGAAATGTGGACTCGTCAGACCACAGAACACTTTTCCACTTTACATCAGTCCATCTCAGATGAGCTCGGGTCCGGAGAAGCCGGCGGCGCCGTTTCTGGATGTTGTTGATAAATGTCTTTAGAGTTTTAACTTACAGATGTAGAGATGAACTGTATTTACTGACAGTGGTTTTCTGAAGTGTTCCTGAGTTCATGTGCTGATATCCTTTAAACACACTGATGTCGGTTTTTGATACAGCGCCCCCTGAGGGGTCGAAGGTCACGGTCATTCAATGTTGGTTTCTGGCCGTGCCGCTTATCTTCAGTGATTTCTCCAGATTCTCTGAACCTTTTGATGATATTTTGGACCGTAGATGTTGAAATCCATAAATTCTTTACAATTGTACTTTGAGAAACGTTGTTCTTAAACTGTTCGACTATTTGCTCACGCAGTTGTTCACAAAGTGGTGAACCTCGCCCCATCCTTGCTTGTGAATGACTGAGAATTTTTGGGGAAGCTGCTTTTATACCCAATCATGACACCCACCTGTTCCCTATTAACCTGCTCACCTGTGGGATGTTCCAAATAGGTGTTTGATGAGCGTTCCTCAAATTTATCAGGATTTTTTCCCAACTTTACCAAGGTCTTTGTCACGTGTAGCTGCCATGAAATTCTAAAGTTAATTATTATTTGCTAAAGAACAATCAAGTTTATGAGTTTGAACATTAAATATCTTTGTAGTGAATTCAGTTGAATTTAGGTTGAAAAGGATTTGCAAATCATTGTATTCAGTTTTTATTTAACACTGATCACAATTTCCCAACTTCATTGGAATTAGGTTTTGTAGATGATAATAAAGTTCTCTTTAATTAATCGTTAATTGATCTGATTGATATGTCAGGTATTCTTGGTGTGACCCTGTTAGAGCAGAATCTGAGTCCAGTCTGACTGTTCCTTCATACTGACTCAGGACCTGGTCCTGCTGAACACCTGTTGTAGACGTTAACCCTCTCCTGTGTTAAACTCAGACGATAGATTTATGGTTGGCATGGAAACGCACAGTGATGTTTACTATAGAGAATGCAGCACAGAAGGCTGACGTCTAAAATACAGGCTGTGTTTCCAAACCAGACTAAAGTCAGTGAATTAAAAACATCTTTACTCTTTTACAGGAGAACTTCATCCAAGTTTGACCACATCACCTACAAAGCTCTGATCCGTTCAGGATCTCCTAATGTCTACCAGCTGAAACCAAAGAAACAGGAAATAGGAACAAAACAGGAAACAGGAACAAAACAGGAAACAGGAACACTGACAAAAATGACTCTGGGTGAAAAAAATCCTAACAAGACAAACAGAACCATCTTACTTGTTGGTGAAACAGGAACAGGAAAATCTACTCTGATCAACGCTCTGGTCAACTACGCCATGGGGGTGAAGTGGGAGGACGATGTCTGGTTTGAGATCGTAGAGGAGGAGGAGAGACAAGATCAGACCAAAAGTCAGACCCCAGATGTGAAAGTTTACGAGATCTTTGGTTTTGAAGGTGAAACTCTGCCGTACTCTCTGACCATCATCGACACTCCTGGATTTGGAGACACAAAAGAGGATAAACAAGACAACACAGTCGGTCAAAGATTGTTTCAGCTGTTCTCCTCAGAGGGTGGAGTTCATGAGATGAACGTGGTTGGTCTGGTTCTGAAGGCCAGCGTGAACCGACTGAGTGACCGTCTGAGGTACGTCTTTGACTCCATGGTGTCTCTGTTTGGGAAAAACATGAAGGACAACATTGTCGCCCTCATCACACACTCAGATGGATGCAAACCCGAAAATGCTCTGGAGGCTCTGGAGGCTGCAAACATTGAGATGGCCAAAGATGGAAACAATCAGCCGGTTTACTTCCTGTTTAATAACCGCCAAAATGAAGACAGGACCGAGAACAAAAAGTTCCTTGAATTTGCAGAGGAAATAACAACAGAACAAATCAAGAAGTTCTTTGACCTTCTGGAGAAAACTCCTCCTCAAGATCTGACGAAAACGACAGAAGTTCTCAACTTGCGCATCAGACTGACCGCCTGCACCCAGAACCTGCAGGAACGAATTCAGTTGATCGCACGACAACAGAACGAGATCAAGCAGACTCAGGAAGCTCTGAAGAAACACCAAGAAGAGATGAGGAGGAACTCAGAAGGAGTGAAGTCTGCTGAACAAACTGAAGAAGAAATTCAACAGACTCAGAAAGATCTGAGGAGACATGAAGAAGAGATGAGGAAAAACGAGAACTTCACTGTGGAGGTGGATGAGGTCTACAAAGAAACAGAAAGTATTGATGGTGGGATGTGGGGTTTGTTTTTTTATGAAGGAGCTGTCACCTGTAACATCTGTGAGGAGAACTGTCACCACCCAGGATGCACAATGGCCCGGTCTCCCAACAGCTGTGCGGTCATGAGAGGGGGTCACTGCACTTCCTGTACCAACAAATGTCCTGTAGCTGACCACGTGAAGGAGGAGTGGAGGTATGTGATCAAGGCCAGAAAAGTTAAGAGGACCCTTCAGGACGTGAAAGAGAAGTATGAAAGAAGCAGAGCAGACCATGAGGAGAAGAAACACCTTCTGGAATATCTAAAGGAGACCAATGCTGGCCAAGAAGATGTGAAAGAGAAGTTTGAAAAGAGTAAAACCACCTGTGATGAGGAAACAGATCTCCTGGAAGATCTCAAGAGTAAAGCTGAAGAACTTCAGAGGGACAAAGATCGATGGTTGGAGGAGTCTTTCCAGCATGTCCTCACACTGGAGCAGATCGCCCTCAATACCAATTCACTGTCCACTCATGTCCACCTGGGCTTCCTGATTGAGAAGATGAAGGAGAAAGGAGACTGGGAGAAGGTCCAGAAACTGGAGGAGATGAAGAAACGACAGGATGAAGGAACCAGAGAAGGACTGCGGTACTACGGACTACACTTTGGCAACCGACTGGTCAACGCTGGTAAAAAAGTTTTGGGTGGAAAAAATAAGTGAGCTGGATCTTTGTGAAGAAACCGAGGTCCACCTGAGAAGACTGAAGATCCTGAGAGAAGACTCAGTCCAGGACTGTTCAACCTGGTTTCAGTTTTTCTTCTGTGAGAATAATTTCAAAGTCTGGAGATGTTTGTTTTGACTTTTTTAACTCCAGACCAGATTTTTAATCTGACCGTCTCTAAAAAAATCAGTCTGTGTGAAGATCTGAACTTTATCAGTCAGTCATAATATTCATGTGTTCATCAGTGAGTCACTATAATCATGTGTTCATCAGTGAGTCACATTAATCATATGTTTATCAGTAACTCAGTATATTCATGTGTTCATCAGTCACAATAATCATGTTTTTTTGTAAGTCACATTAATCATGTGTTCATCAGTTAGTCACATTAATCATGTGTTCATCAGTTATTTACATTAATCATGTGTTCATCGGTGAGTCACATTAATCATGTGTTCATCAGTTAGTCACATTAATCATGTGTTCATCAGTTATTTACATTAATCATGTGTTCATCGGTGAGTCACATTAATCATGTGTTCATCAGTTAGTCACATTAATCATGTGTTCATCAGTTAGTCACTATAATCATGTGTTCATCAGTGAGTCACATTAATCATATGTTTATCAGTAACTCAGTATATTCATGTGTTCATCAGTCACAATAATCATGTTTTTTTGTAAGTCACATTAATCATGTGTTCATCAGTTAGTCACATTAATCATGTGTTCATCAGTTATTTACATTAATCATGTGTTCATCGGTGAGTCACATTAATCATGTGTTCATCAGTTAGTCACATTAATCATGTGTTCATCAGTTATTTACATTAATCATGTGTTCATCGGTGAGTCACATTAATCATGTGTTCATCAGTTAGTCACATTAATCATGTGTTCATCAGTTAATCACATTATTCATGCGTTTATCAGTTACCTAGTATATTCATGTGTTCATCAGTTAGTCACATTATTCAGTGTTTATCAGTTACCCAGTATATTCATGTGTTCATCAGTTAGTTACATTATTTATGTGTTTATCAGTTATTCAGTATATTCATGTGTTCATCAGTCACAATAATCATGTTTTTTAGTAATTCATAGTAATCATGTGTTCATCAGTTAATCACATTAATCATGTGTTTATCAGTTAGTCGCATTAATCATGTGTTCATATTTTGGCTTTTGTTTTAACTGTAAACTTCTTACAATCATTTTAATCCAAACATGTTATACAAGTTTATTTGTGGTGACTGTAGTTTATAATCGAACCCTGATTGATTAACTAGTTAATAAAGTGATTGATTGATGAACTGATTAATAAAGTGATTAATAAAGTGATTAATAAATTGATTAATGAAGTGATTGATAAAGTGATTAATAAAGTGATTGATAAAGTGATTAATAAAGTGATTAATAAAGTGATTGATGGATGAACTGTCTCTGCTCAGTGTGTCTTCATTTGATCATCAGCTGGTTTTTAAAGTCGTTCCTGATCACCTTTCTTTGTAAATATCTGTTTATGTCTCAGACAGCTCCAGTTTATTCTCTGATCAGAAAGGTGAACATGGTTCAATAGAGAATATTGATCTGTAATTAGAAACAGCAGGATGGAGACACTGATGATGGTTCCTGCGGTCACCAGCAGAGGGCGCTGATGGCTGAGTTTAAAACAAACAGACCAAATAAACTCCTTAAATCAGTGTTAAATAAAGTGAAGCAGTGATTGTAAGTGGACTCAGTTTGAGTGTCAATGACTTTTTTACCTCTTAATAACAAACAGCTTTGTTGTGTCTTCAGCTGAAACACACAGGAGTCTTTTTCTAACCAGAGGGATCTCTAAAGGTCTTTGTGTTCCAGCCTCAGTCACCTCCACAAAGGTGTGAGCTCCTGTTTCTGAGCTGAGATGATCACTGAAGGAGGAGGAACATCCTGATTGACCTTCTGAAAACCTTTAAATCTGTCAGTGAGAAGAACAAGTTCAAGGAGACTCTGAAACTGATGCTGATCGAGTGTTTTCAGGGTTGTTTTTCAGTTCTTCAGATTTCACAGATTATTAACTGTCATGGCCATAAACTGTATATACTATGGACAATAAAAGTTACGTATGTAACTACGGTTCTATGAATCCTGAATGACCACCAGAGGCGGTGCTTAAAGCACTGAATATTCCCTTCGCGCATGTGTAGTTCGAGTACTTATACCAAAATGGTCACATGTGACCCCTGATGCTCCGGGAGAGTTTATAACTTCCGGAGGCCATCAGGGGGTCAGTCCCAACAGAATCTTCTCGTGAGAGCCCGAGGAGTCTGAGTGACATGAGCTCTGGCGGTCATTCGGGATTAATAGAACCGTAGTTACATACGTAACTTTCGTTCTATTTCATCCCTGCTGACCGCCAGAGGCGGTGCTTAAAGCACTGAATGACTAATACCAGCAGAGTCACGAGGAATCCCGTCACAAACCTCAGAGGGTAGAATCAGACGACTCCGGGAGAAGGACCACACCCAATGGATTGGGGGGTGGCAACATTCACTCTATAAAACCTCGAGAAAGTGCCCGGCGATGCCCACGAGGCAGCTGCACATATGTCTTACAATAACACCCCTTTCATTGCGGCCCACGATGTTGAGACACTTCTGGTAGAGTGGCAGCGTATACCAGGTGGAATGGGGCGGTTGCTGGCCTTGTAGGCATAGCTAATAGTGTCCACGACCCAGTGGGACAGGCGCTGCTTAGAGAGAGCGCAACCTGCATTAGGGCCACCGAGGCAAACGAAGAGTTGTTCAGACCGCCGAATGCCCGCAGTAGCCCCAATATAGGCCCTCAGGGCCCGCACCGGGCAAGAGAGCTCCAGCCTGTCTGTCCTCTCTCCTGGTGAAGGGTCAAACCGGGACAGCCGTATAGGCTGGTTATGTGTGAATGAGACAGCACCTTGGGGAGGAATGCTATGTTCGGCCATAAGGTGACACCTGACCCGTCCGAATTCCACCTCAGACATGAATCGCTGACTGATAAGGCATGAAGCTCACTGACACGCTTTGCAGATGTAATTGCCAGAAGGAATGCGGTCTTGCATGACAGCCACTTCAGGTCCGCCTGCACCAGAGGCTCGAAAGGAGGCTTGCTTACGGCATCCAACACAATGTTAAGATCCCACGCCGGAACTCTCTGGGTTCCAGGAGGGTTCAGCCTCCGAGCCCCCCTCAGGAATAAGGACACTAGACTGTGGCTTCCCAACGTGACACCATCAAGTCTGGCGTGACGGCATGATATGGCTGCCACGTAGACCTTCAGGGTAGACGGAGATCTGCCCTTACCCAGGAGCGACTGCAAGAACTCCAGGACCACAGGCACGGAGCAATGCACTGGGTCGTCACCCAGATTTTGACACCAAGTGGAAAACAGTTTCCATCTATTGTCATATTGTAACCTGGTGGATGGCGCCCTCGCGTTCATGATGGTACGTTGCACCTGGTCCCCACAGCTGCTCAGCAGCGGTTTGGGCCCCCCAGCAGCCAAACATACAGTTTGAGGCGGCGGGGTTCGGGATGCCAGATCCGCCCCCCTCGCTGAGTCCATATGAAGTTGAACTGGAGGATGTCAGTGTAGCTTTAGCTTCGGCTAACATAGGAAACCCACCACACCCCTAAAGACCACCTATGAGAGGAGAGTCAAGTTCAGTTCTATGCAGCAAAACACAGTTACGTGTAAACAGAGAAACCACTGAGGCTACATAGCTTGTTATTGTTTTATCATCCATAATTTGTTAACAATAAGACGTGGTACAGTGGCCTAGAGCTGCCACTGCTGCAAATAAAAAATACCAAAAAAAAGAAGTCACAACAGAAGTTACCATGCAAAAAAATAAAAGTAATTGAAGCCCGCTGCAATTAAGAAAAGAAATGATGCAGATTTTAAAAAAGCCACCATGGAAGTTAAACAACGCTAAAAAAAAAAAAAAAAAGTGGTGATGGAAAAAAATAAGTTACTGAAGCTAACTACACCGGAGTCCTCCAGTTCAACTTCATATGGACTCAGGCGCTACATGGTCTAAACAAATGACACTGTACTGAGATCGTGAAACACCGCTGCATCATCAGAAGTGGTCCCAGCAGCTCACTTCTGTTGTGAGTTTTTTTTTTGCATTCTTTATTATTTACAGAAGTGGCGGTTCTCAGCCACAGTACATTTCTGTCTGTTGTCTTTGTATTAATTATCAGTTTGTAACAAGCTTGTCCAGGTCACCTTTGTTAATGAGATCCTGATCTTAATGAGACTGATCTGGGGAATTAAAGGTTAAATAAGATAATAACAATAATAATCAAGTTTTAACACTGTCATGTTTTTGATATGTTGTAAATAAAAAAAATGGGGGAAAAAGGTAAAAAAAAAAAAAAAACTGTAACATTTAGTCTTATTTTGAAAAGCTCGGGCGGAAGTAGTGCGCCGTATTGACGCTGTCTTCCCGTCAGAGAAGTTTGATCAGCTGCTCCTCGCGCTCTGCATCTTCACACTGACTCTTAACGAAGATGGCCGGACGGGACCGAGTGGTTCACCTGCTCAGACAGCTGGAGCGCGCGGCGTAAGTTCGATAAAAGTTCGATAATCGATCATTAAAGAAAGAGTTTCAGGTAGAGGTGAGCTCGTGCAGCACGGAGCGGTGACGTTTAAAGAGCAGGACCGCCCACCATGTTGTTTTTCTGTCTGAAGTGTAGAGGAGTCCGACCAAACCCCGTTTGAAAATCTGAGGGTTTAGGAAATCCGTGTTCTAATGTGGGTTAGACTCAGTCCAGAGATCCGGTTTAAACTTAAATTATATCAGTATGAAGAGTCTGGACCATCGGCCTCATGGTGGACCATGAAGAGGACTAATAAAACCGGGTCAAAGAGTTTGCTGTGTGGACCTGGGAGACCACCACCCTGCAGACCCTGTTCTGTAATCAGGAGACCCCGAGGACTGTCTCAGACCCGGTTTCAGTTTTTCCTCTAATATAGACTAACACTCAGAAAACTGAGTAGACCACCAAGAAACAAAGATCCAGACTTTGGTCTGTCAGGGTCCAGACGGGACCAGGTCAAAAACTGGGTCCAGTGAGACCAACGAGACCATCTCATGAAAAAACAGCAGAGATTCAGTTCAGGAGGGGGTCATGGTTAGACCTTCGGGGTCAGGGTTAGACCTCTGGAGAATTAAACTGTAATTTAGACTTTTAGGACTTTATTTTGAAACTCTCAGGACTTCACTTTTATAACTTGAATCTTGTTAATCTATAACTTCAGTCTCTGATCGTAGAACTTGTTTTTGTTTCTTTACAGCCTTTTTCTTTGTTAGCAACTCTTTTTGTTGTCCTTATTTCTATAATTCTCTCTTTATTATTGATTAATTATTGATTGTTTATTGATTTATTTTCCTCAGTTCTTCTCTGATTCCCTCCTGTCTCACACAGAAACCTTTGCAGCTCTTCTTTTCTTCTTATTTCTGATTTTGTGAATTTTTGACTTTTTAAACCTGAACTTTTCTGACTTTGACCTTAAACTCTGAGTTTATTTACATGACTTTAAATCACCAACTTTACCTCTGTGCACAGGTGCAGATGCCCCGCCCACTCCAACACCTTCCACCAAGGTATTAACTCACACACACACACACACTCACACACACACACACACACAGTGACTCTGATCAGCTGTTTTTCTCCTGTTTCTTGTTTTTTACCTGCAGGTGCAGGAGCGTCTACCTGCACCGTGAGGAAGACAGACTACGCCTTTGAGGTGACGGCGGACACTGACCCCTGACCCCTGACCCCAATAAAGAGCACTGATTTAAATCTGATCTGAGGTCTGATCACAGCAGGACCATCTCTGAGGAGGTCTCATGGTCTGACCTGCTGCACAGTTTCAGGTTCAGGAGATTAGATCAATAAATTCAGATTTTAAAAAAACGTCCTGATGTGGGCGGAGTCTCAGGTGGGTGTGAACCTGACAGAGTTTCTTCAGAGATGTTGATCCTCAGATCTGACAGCCTCCTTCATCACAGAGGAGAGTGACCCGTTCTTGATGTGGGTCGGTACAGTAATTCTGGTACCAGTGAGCGTAAAGACGATGAACACACCTGTCCAGAGTTCTCAGCAGGTGTAAAGAGGGGCTCACAGCGTCACCATGGAGACCCCTCATCGTCACCATGGAGACCCCTCAGCTCTGACCTCGTTCACTAACTTTACATTTGTCTGTTCGTCTGCAGATGGCGAGTTCCAACATCCGATACGGCGAGGGAGTCAGCAGAGAGATCGGCATGGTAACCAAACATCATCATCATCAGTTAGAGCACATACCTGAAGTCACCTGTAATTCTCACCTGTTTCTGTGAGACCTGATGAAGGTCCTGTCCTGCTGCCAGACTCACCTGTTCACCTGTAGGTTAGCTCAACGTGATCAGCAGCTCTGAACGGGGCGGTTACTTTTTACACAGGACCGCTCAGCTCTGATGATCAGAAACCTTCTCTTCACTCCTCTGGACCTGTCCGAGGTTCTGCTGTCTGAGTCTCTGGTCTCGGTTCTCTGACCTCGGTGTGTCTCTGGTTCTCCTTCAGGACCTGCAGAACCTTGGAGCCAAGAACGTCTGCCTCATGACAGATAAGAACCTGTCCCTCCTCCCCCCGATGAAGGCCGTCCTTGAGTCCCTGGCCAAGAACGGGGTCAAGTACAAAGTCTACGATAACGTCCGCGTGGAGCCCACCGACACCAGGTGAGACCCAGAACACTCCTCCAGGTAACAAGGTCACACCTGAGTCCGCTACCTGAGGACTGAACCAACGAGGGACCTCAGAGTGATCTGATGAGAGACAAGAAAAGAGAGAGAAAGAGAGAACTAAAGAAAAAGAAGAGAAAGGAGGAAAGGAAAAAAATGAAAAAAATAAAAGAAAATAGAAGAAACAAAAGAAGAAAAGAAAGAAGTGAATTAAATAAAAGAAAAAAGGAGAAAAAAATAAAAGAAAAAAGTAGAAATTAAAGGAAATGGAGTCGACTGAGAAAGTTTAGAATATATTAAACGAAAAAAGCCAAAAAAAAAAATGAAAGTCTGAAAAATAAAATGGAATAAATAGAAATAAAATTGATCAGATTATATTAACATGTTATTCTCTAATAAAAGAACAAAATTAATGAGATAGAAACTAAATTAAAGAGTGAAATAGAAAATAAAAAGATATTGAAATTAAACACTTTTGTTTTTTTCTGTAACCTTAAATCTTATATTTATTGTTACAAAAATAAAATATTGTTCTAAGTATTATTTTAGAAATAATACAATAATAATTATTATCAAAATAATAATAAATATTATTTTGATAATAATTATTATTATTATACTGTGTTTCAGTTTCAAAGACGCCATCGCCTTCGCCAAAAACGACTCCTTTGATGTGTATGTGGCGGTGGGCGGGGGCTCTGTGATTGACACCTGCAAGGCAGCCAATCTCTATGCCAGTCACCCCGACGCCGACTTCCTGGATTTTGTGAACGCTCCGATCGGGAAAGGAAAGCCGATCTACGGAGCGGTGAAACCTCTGATCGCAGGTAAGAAAACAGGGAGTACCAGAACCACAGAGTACCAGAACCACAAAGTACCAGAACCACATAGTACCAGAACCACAGAGTACAAGAACCATAGAGTACCAGAACCACAGATTACCAGAACCACAGAATACCAGAACCACAGATTACAAGAACCACAGAGTACAAGAACTATAGAGTACCAGAACCACAGAGTACAAGAACCATAAAGTACAAGAACTATAGAGTACCAGAACCACAGAGTACAAGAACCATAGAGTACCAGAACCACAGAGTACTAGAACCACAGAGTACAAGAACTATAGAGTACCAGAACCACAGAGTACAAGAACCACAGAGTACAAGAACCATAGAGTACCAGAACCATAGAGTACCAGAACCACAGAGTACCAGTACCACAGAGTACAAGAACCACAGAGTACCAGGACCACAGAGTACCAGAACCACAGAGTACCAGTACCACAGAGTACAAAGAACCACAGAGTACCAGAACCATAGAGTACCAGGACCACAGAGTACCAGAACCACAGAGTACAAGAACCACAGAGTACCAGAACTATAGAGTACCACAAAGTACCAGAACCACAGAGTATTAAAACCACAGAGTATTAGAACCATAGAGTACCAGGATCTAAAAACCCAGTTTAATTTGAATAAAAGTTTGTTTGTTGTTTTGTTGTTTTTGGTCACATGACCTCTCACACCGCCTCTTATCTCAAAGATTCAACTCAAGGTTCCTGTGAGGGGGTCAAAGGTCACGTTCAAACCTTTCCTTTTCTTTGTTCTCTAAAGTTCCGACGACTGCGGGGACGGGCAGCGAGACCACCGGGGTCGCCATCTTCGACTACGAGCCGCTGAAGGCAAAGACAGGTAAACACGGGGTTAAATCTGTGAGGGTGAAGGTCAAAGGTCAACATCACCTTTTTATCTTTTGACCCAGGGGTCAAAGTTCAGGGACTGAATCAGCTCCTACCTGTCAGTCACAGAGGCCACGCCCCTAATTCCCCTCACCTTTGATAGTGTGGTCAGGTTTAACATGGGGCTCTATGGGACTGACTGACTGTAGGACTCAGCCTCTAGTGGACAGTGGAGGAACTGCAGTTTGTCGGACTTCAGCGTTAGCTACGATTTTTACTAACGTTCGAGTTTTCTCCGAAGTCAGGAGTCGGAGCTAAAATGACGTCAAACCTGAGTTCTCGGCGTTTCAGTGACCAAGTCGGAGAAAAAAGCAAAATCGGAGGTGGAAACAAGATGGCGACATCTACACACATGTTCTGACAAGAGTTCGCTTTTTTCCGACTTGGTCACTGAAACGCTGAGAACTCTGGTGTGACGTCATTTTAGCTCCGACTTCTGACCTCCGAGGAAACTGAAGAACGCTGTCAAACAAATCAGAGTGATGATGATGATGATGACATCAGAGTCTGTCTGAGCTGTGATTGGTTGTTTGTGTTCAGGTATCGCCAGCAGAGCCATCAGACCCACGCTGGGCATCGTGGACCCCGTACACACACTGAGCATGCCCGAGAGAGTCGCCGCCAACAGCGGCTTCGATGTCCTCTGGTCTGTCTACGTGTGTGTGTGTGTGTGTGTGTGTCTGTGTGTGTGTGTGTGTGTGTGTGTGTGTGTGTGTGTGTGTGTGTGTGTGTGTGTGTGTGTGTGTGTGTGTGTGTGTCTGTGTGTGTGTGTGTGTGTGTGTGTGTGTGTGTGTGTGTGTGTCTGTCTTTGTATCAATCTGCAGTCTAAAGTCTTCAGTAGAATTAACCCTTCGTCGTCGTCGTCGTCGTCCTGAAGGTGTTTCTCTGGATGAAGATGGTTTGGCCTTCATGGCCACCGTACTCTGATCCCTCTGTGCTCATGGTCATTTGGCCCCTCCCCCGGTCTGACAGAAGAGGGCGGGTCTCCAGCAGAGCTTCAGGTTTAGGTCTAACTCAGGGTTCAGATCTTGTTGACAGGAAACAGGACCGTCTTGTTTTCAGACTCCTGGACACGTGAGGCAGCCGCGACCTCTGACCTCTGAGCGCCATAACTCACAGAGTGTTTTTTGCCCTCTCACCCAGTCTGCGGTGAGGCCTCATGGCGAGCTGTCATAAACCTGAGGACGCCGCGTTAATGATCTCAGGACGACTCTGAAACAGGTCTTCATGAAAACTCCTCAGAGTCCAGGATCAGAGTCCAGGATCAGAGTCCAGGATCAGAGTCTCTCTCCGCCTCCCCTCGTGTCTCGGCCGTCATCCTTCGAACCGAGTCGGTTAAATATTTTTATAGTGATATATTAACAGGAAATGACCTCACAGAAACACAGCGGCCCGTTATAAAAACCTTTTTTTCAGACTTTGTTCAGTCAGTTTAGATAAAATCACTGAGATAACCTTTAAACCACACAGTCAGAGCGCCATCTACAGGGCGCCTCAGGACGGAGGGGAGTAAAAATCAAAGA